GGGGTGCTGTAATATTACGTAGAAAAATGATCAAGATGTTCGCATGAAATCTGCATCCATTACATCCAGCCATGAATGGCTGGATGATATTTTAAGAACTCATATCCCAATCTTTTATTCTGCACCTTACCAGCGTGTACTAATTGCACTGTGTGATGGAGTGGAGATCGGCAAGGGACTGCTTATTATCATATAGACTCTGTCAGGATCCACTGCTATTTGACTGAACCGACATAAAGCATGAAATGTTGTGTGCTGGTTGGCAAAAGCAACAAAGTCATTCACACGTTGTTCTGCTTATTCTAGTGTGATTTTTGTGGTATTTTTAAAAATGACTGCACGGTTTTATGTTTTGCACTAGACAGTAGTTACTTCTGTTCTCCCTTGAAGATATAATTTTGATCATCTGATATTTTATTGGAAATTCAAAACCTAATATTCAGTTTGTTGTTCTGTGAGGTAAGAAAATGAAGCTCAACTTTGTTTTTTTCTGTAGGAACAGGAAACACATGGACAAGGTTACATGTGTAACAAGACCCTGTATATACAACTTTGTTTTTTTCTGTAGGAACAGGAAACACATGAAGACACAAATATGAAACAATATGAGACATATGATCAATGATATAAGATGTTTTTTCCCTCATTACTGTAACCATCAACTCAACTGTATTTATTGTTGGGGGGAAAAGTGGCTTTCTTTCCCCCGCGTGTTCGTTGAATTTGGGACGAGGAGGATGTTGGTAATCCAAATACAGGCTGGAGTCAATGAACAGTTTCTTCGAAGCTTTTAATAACAGAATATTCCGGTCACCTGTGGTTGACAGACAATGGCTGCATGTCACGAGTGCGAAGCAGGAAGAGAGTCACATCATTTTTATATCATCACAAGGGCGGCACCAAAACTCAATTTGTGACATCATAACTTTCGTTTCTCCTAAACCAATTCTCAGCTTGTTTCAACTAGCGCATTCCAATGTTTGTGCGTCTCCAGTAGGGAGTGTTCCAATTTTAAGTGATGATTGTTACAAGGACGCCAAGCTACGCTGCGGGCATGGGAAAGTTGTACAGCATGACTGCATATGAGCAGAATACACACTTCATTGTAGAGCACTTTAAAACAACCACTGCTGTATACAAAGTACATGGAGCAAATATCATATACACAACAATAAAACAAATTAATAATGAAGACAGTAGAAAGAACAAAAACAGTAAAACTGAGGTCAAGTCTGAGTCATGCTGAGTCAAATGCCAAAGAATACAAATGAGTTTTGAGACAAGTTTTAAAGATGGGCGTTGAGGGGGCAACTCAATTGAAAAAAGACAACTTTTTGAGAAGGGAAGTAAAAATAAACTGTGATGAAGTGGTTGCACAAGTGTGCACACCCTTTAAGAACTGAGAATGTGGCTGTGCTCAGAAATCAACAATCACATTCAAACTCATATTAGTTTGAGTCAGCACTAGGAATGTAAAGAGTAATCGAAAATCGATTTCAACTGCTTAAAATATGCATTGATGTAAAAAAAAAATCTATCAAAATTTTGATCGCAAAATGATTTGTCATCATATTTTCTGTATTGGTATTCAATCGTGTGTTGACGTTGCTGAATCGATATTGAATTGCGAGTAGAAGTGCTGCAATGCATTGATTAATCAATATTTTTTACATTCAACCACTTGATAAATGTCTTTTGTTTTGACAAAGTAGGCCATATTATGACCAGAGTGCTAATACTGTATAACAAAAATACATTTTTGCTTTATCTCTAGGTATTAAACCCAATGGGCTGGGATGCATTCGGCCTTCCAGCAGAGAATGCAGCTATTGAGAGACGTCTTGATCCAGAAAATTGGACCAAAAGGTACTAAAGGCTTATTTGTGCTTCAAGATCTTCAACCCTCTGACTGTATTCCCTTTCAAAAGGAACATCAAGTCGATGCGGGAGCAGCTGGACAGCCTTGGCCTTTGCTTTAATTGGGACCGGGTCTGTAGGAACAAGACTTGGACAACAATCAAACCGTATTTTCCTTCTCCCTCCCTGTGGACCTGACCAGAATGTTTCTTTCACAGGAGGTGACCACTTGCCTTCCTGACTACTACAAGTGGACACAGTATCTCTTTATTAAGCTCTTCAAAGCAGGGCTGGCTTATCAGAAAGAGGTAAGACTCGCCTTTCCATCAAAGTACTTACCCTAGGTTTCTTTTGGAAGGATTATGATTGCTTTAGTTGGTCTTTCACAATGACAGTGATGATTTTGGAGGTCTTCTTTAGAAAGCCTTTGATAACGTGTAATGAAGTGTGACAACCTTTAAATAAAGCCTACGGTCTATCTCTTTCAATTGCAGCGACCTAATCACTGCTTTCATTCTTCATGAGCAATTTGTGTGTGCGTGTGCATGTGTACTCTTCAGGGTGTGGTGAACTGGGACCCTGTTGATCAAACAGTACTGGCTGATGAGCAGGTGGATGAAAACGGTCGCTCTTGGAGGTCTGGTGCTCTGGTGGAGCAGAAGTTGCTCACTCAATGGTTCATCAAGACCACGCACTACGGCAAGGTACACTTGTGTGAATTCGATCTAAAAGAAGCGTCGCAATAATAGGCCCTCAACTTCGGGACGGTTCAAATGAGCGGCCGCCTACTGTGATAATAACTGTGACTGTTCCGCCTCTGGTTGTACAATCAAACCCCTGGAGGTCATCAACGCTAACGAATGAACAATGCCCTGTGAAAAAAAAAGAAAAAAGAAGCCACTCGTGCTTAAACTCATGTGTTTTTATTTTTTTTCCTTTTGCAAATTACTTGGTTAGCTTTGCATTGTATGAGCATGTGTAAGGCAAGGCCGTTTTGTTTATGAGAGACTGGTTGTAACTCCAGTCCAGACTGACCAAAAAAAAAAAAAAAGTGAACAAATGTATGCAGATTTACCACCAATGCCAACATTGAGCCGTGAGTGATCGGCAATGTTTCACACTTCATCAAGCCAGAATAGTGTCGAGTCAATTTGATGGTGCTGTCCATGCACAGAGTTCTATCAAATGAGTTTAAAAAGACATATATCCATGCAAGGACTTGTAAAAACCGTTTGGCCACTAACGGGTTCATGAAAGCAATCCTTTCCATATGCAAACCTTGCATGTGTCTTGGTGACATTGCTGCAGTTGCCCATGCTGGTCCATGTCAGAGGTATGAATGGAGGTGGGAGCACTACTGTGACAATGTGTTCGCGCATTTCTAATTTTCACTGGCAAATGGAGAAGTGGAGAGGAAGGAGGAAGAAGGTGTGAAGAAATAGAAGTGAGAGAGGCAGATGGAGAGGCAGGAGGGCCTTGGCAAAATGAAGCATGCCAAACGTGTTTGTGATTTCCTCAGCCCCCCATTCCCACTTGCCTGTTCATCATGCCGGCTCGACAACATTAACTTCAGATTATATTTATGATGCGCTCTACCTCATGCCGAAGTATGTCTTCCAACTATAATGTTTTTTCCGAGATGATTTCAGATGACAAGAATCATTACCAAGATTGATTATTTTGACATACACTGTGTGTCATTTCAAAATGTTTCATAATCACACTTGTTGCTTGTCACGCACTGTCAACCACAATTCCGTGTGTGAGCGAGCATCCGATAGCACTCACACGTTTGCTGTAGTCCAGTGATTCATAACCAGAGTACCCTGGCACACTAGTGTGCCGTGAGAGATCATGATCCGGTTTTACTTAAAGTTGTCCGGCAATGATCACTTACAGATCTTCATTTGGCATCGATCTATGCCAGCGAATTATACTGTGGTGACAGGTATACCACTGAAATGGTTTTTCGTTACATGGCAGAAGTGTCCGTTATTTATTTCTTTGGCATACTGACTGGGAGAGAGCATCTCACTGATTGGATAATAATGCGATAAAATTGTCCTCCGATTGCTCTGATATGCTACTCACTGCCCATAGAAGCATTTGCGGTAAACTCCAGTTTGCAGATTTTGTGCTCCTTCTGTAAGACTTACGATACCACAAGATGACGCCAAACCTCTGTCTAATAGGAAAGTAGTAAACGGTGTAGAGAAAGTATTGTTGAAGTGGTGCACCTCGACTGAGAGACGGAGGGGTGTGTTTGTCGTGGAGGAGCAAATTGGTTATGATTGGACGTTAAGAGAGTCATCTTCACATGTGCATGTACACTGTATATATATAATTCCAACACATTTTTTTCAAAATAAAAAATCTTCTCCAAATCATTTCAGTTTTAATTATGTTATAAGATGATTTTGGAATTAGAGTATAGTTTTTTTTGGGGTCAACATTTGGAGGCGGGGCATTTTTTTGTGTGTGTGTTGGTCTCTGTTAACTGTAATATGATTATAAAGTATTAAGCAGCCAATCGCTCGTAATTCATTCTGACCGATACCAGCAGATAAATCCATAAGTGTTGTTACAAATTGTTACTATTTTGGTTGCTGAATCAAATTCTTAAAAAGGTGACAAAGTATGTGTAAATGTTTCTTTGCTTAAGCAGGCACACGCACAAGCATACACACACACACACACACACACACACGCACACACACACACACACACACACACACACACACACCGCTTGGCTTTGCCTTGGTTTCTATATGGCGCTTGCTTGAAGCTTTTATTTGTTGCCATGGAGACAGCCCTTGCCCATCACAGTTCTTTAGCACACAAATGATTTTTTTTTTCTGCTTCTCTTCTCAGACTCAAAAGCTCTGATATAATTTCCGGGTTTAGTTTTTGTCCGGCTGTCATGAGAGTGATGACCATAGCCATTGTGTGTGTTTTCATATTTTAATATGGTTGTGGAAATGAATGATGAGTGGCACAGTTTGAGTGCTTGTGGGTAATAGATTGTGACAGCCTGAAAGGAAAATAGAGAGGTATAACAGCACCGGCCTTTGCCCAGCTGTGACATTTTGACTTTGAGTTGGTTGATATGCATAGGTTTTTTTTTTTTTTTTTTTCACCACGCAGAATAACTGTTTGTGACAGTTTGTATGTTACAACTAGGTCAGAATAAGTCAGGCAAAACAGGTTGATATTTTTGAAATGAGCATTTGAAATATAGTAAAGTTGCACCTAATTACGTCTTATGTTTTCTTTGTTTGTTTGTTTTGTTTTTTGTTTCTTCCACCCCAGCCTCTTCTGGACAGCTTGTCTGACCTTCCAGAGTGGTACGGAGTCAAAGCCATGCAGGCAAATTGGATTGGAGAGTGCACTGGCTGCTACTTTGATTTCAAACTCAAGGTGGGTCTCTGCTTGTTATTTATTCATTCATCATTCTTGCTTTCTTTGGAACTCTTGACCTTCTTTTCACTAAGCACTTCTCGGTGCTTGTCCTCTTCAGCCATGGTCTTTCATCTCTTACTCACCAACCTGCGACTTGCTTTTTTTAGATCCTGTGATGCCCCTCTGTCGTATTTCTCTTGCGTCTCAGAAAGTACTGAAACCATGTGTTAGGACCAAATGTTCACAACAGTCTTCACTTGAATGCCTTGCCAAATTGAGCAGATTAACAAAAAAGTCAGCCTTGTTAAATGCTTATCAGCTCCTTTTTTTCCAGAACAAAATACTGTACTGTTTTTTGAATGGAAGCTTTTATTACATGATCCTGTACATATAGTTGTCCCTTACTGTATCACGGTTCACTTTTTGCGATTTTACTACATCGCTGATCTCTTCTAAATCGTACTTATATCGCAAATTACTTGATATATTTCGGGATTTTGTGGTGAGGGTTTTTTTTTGACTATTCCTGGAAAGGAATATGAGGAGGAAAAATTGCTTAAAAGACAGACTGTCCAAACTAATAAAACACGTAATAAAAGAAGCTAAAGTGCAATGCGTACCACAAGAGCATGTGATGATTACCAACACAAGGCATCACTGTTAGCTCATGTAATGAGAGCGAAATATTGCTACTTACCCTCCATTGCAATGCCCCCGCACGTGGTCAAGGATAGACACAGCCGCTAATGCACTTTCAATTGCTTTATTAACCAAACGAAAAGAAAACAAACATAATAAGCATATTCAAGCATAAGCTCATCAAAATAAAACTGGCTCAAGTTTCACAACTGCACATCTACGGTAAAGTAGACATGATCATGACACACATTTTAATGTGAGACCTAAACTTGTAATTCATGGGAAGAGCCTTAAGTTACCTCCCGTTTTCATCTTCGACACAAAAGCTGTACTGATCTCACTTTTGAAGAGACTCCCTCACAGAAGCAGTGAGATATTCACCCCCTCTGCCTATAGACTGCAAGTGAATCGCTCAACTGCCACTGGTTGCTTTGACTGCCTCCTCAGACTAAGTGTACCTATGTGCATACTGCGTACACAATAAAGAAACGATAAACAATAAAGAGGTCCAGTTATATTGCTGCTTATCTGGGGTCGTCTCGGTTGAGGCTGTAGCCGAAGTAGGGAACCAAGACCTCCCTCTCCATAGCCACTTTGTCAAGCTCTTCTGGGGAGATTCGGAGGCATTCCCAGGACAACCGCAAAACATAGTCTCCCCAGTGTATCTCTGGCCTTCTCTGGGGCGTCCTACCGGTAGGATGTGCCTGGAACACCTTATGAAGCATACTTGGGCCACCTCATGTGGCTGCTCTGGATGTGGAGGAGCAGCAGCTGTACTGTGCCCTGCGATTGTCTTGACGACCAGTCCAGGGTATACCCCACCTCTCTCCAGAGTTAGGATTAGCTCCAACACACCTGCGACTCGAATGAGGATGAGCAATATAGAAAATGGATAAACGTTTCCATACTGACTCAATAGCTCCCCAATGATGGTCTTTCATTTCCCAGGTGAGTGGAAAGGAGACGGGGGAGAGTCTGTCGGCATACAGCTCCTCTCCAGAAGCGGTGTTTGGGGCAGCGTACCTGGCCATCCTGCCCTCCCACAGACTGCTCCACGGGAGCAGCTCAGTCCGCTCTGTGCTGGAGAAAGCCTATCAGCCAGGCAGAGGTGAGTATCAGTGTGAGGAGTCCTTAGCCCTTTTGGTTTTTGGCTTATGGAAAATTGCTATTTCGAAATGTTATTTTTAACTCTGAATATCAGACCATTAGTTGGCAACTGTGTTCCCTTCCATCTGGTGGACAAAAAGAATAACTCCAAGCCAACTGCTGAGCAACAATGAGAATGTGTTTATTCTAATGTATTTACCTATCTGTAAAATTCTGTGACAAGACCGTAATCAGAGTTATCGTAAAATAGCATCATTTTTAAACTGGATTTCAAAGCATTTACACTTTATTGGTGTGTTTTGAGTCTATTCATTACACCTTTATTACTCTGGTAATAAAGGATACCAACAAATCAGGGGACTGTGCACACAAATACAGAGAAAAAAACCCAGCCTTTTATGGATGATTATTATTTTTTTTTAGGGGTTGGGGGGGTTGGACATGATAGAAGGGTGTGTGCTATTCATGGGATTTTATGATATCTTGCTTACCTGTTTCTGTTTTTTTTTTTTAACCTGTAGGTAAATGATAATTGGGATTCCCTCAAGATAATCTTTTAATTGAAAGTGTTAGTTGATTTATTTATTTTAATTAGCCGTCAGGGGAGGCAGTGCTGCTTTGTTTTCACCTCTCCGCCCTCTGATTTACAGACTCCCTGACAGAGGTCACAGCTGTCAATTTGTTCACCGGCTACGAGGTTCCTCTGGTTATATCTCACAAAGAGGCATTTGATGGCTATCTAGACACTGTGGTTGGTAAGATAATTGTGTGATTGTACCTTAACCTCAAATTTGTGTTTAATTGATCTTCAGGCAAATGAGAAAACAACGGAATAGCATTAAAACATTTCTCAACGTCATAAAACTGCATGTCTGCTCTATGCAGTATTGTGCGTCGCATCTCAGTCCGTGCGCTGCGGGTTGTTTGTCTCACAGTGAGTGGCGATGGACCTCAAGGGATAGCTAATAATTAGTCGCGTCACAGTAATACTTAACATTAAATGCAGGGAGGCTTGTAGGGCATTCTCAAGAGAACTGTACTGAGTGTTTGTCTTTATGTAAGCATTCATTTGTGTTGTCGTTTGTGTTATCATCACGCTGCAACCATATAAACCAGGCACGCCGGACTGCAGTGAGGAGGATTTGTCCGTGGCCAAAACGCTGAATTTAAGGTGGACCAATGTTCTTAAGAGCCATGAAGATGGGACTGAAATTGTCATTAACTCCGATAAGGTGATGACAACCACAGCAATGATGCCATTTACATTTCCTAGTTTTACCTGACATGCACGTGTATCTGTATGCTTTGCTAAGAATGATGACGATTGGATTTGCAATTGTAATACAATGGTTACTATTTACGATTCTTTTCCAAGCAAATCGGGGAGAAAATAATCTCTCTTACCGCACCTTACTTCTTACTTACTTCTGCTTATGTAATAGTTTTCCTGTGTAGTCCGATCACTGATTGTGAGGAATGAAGATGGCAGAGTTTGGCAGACAAAGATGGCGGCAGCTCACAAAAAATATACTTGTTTTTTCTTTTGTTTTGTTTTAGTTGATTACACACTTGGTGGGCACATGTGCAGGTACTCCAGACTCCCACATAAATAGAATTCTCTTGAAATCTAAATACCTCTTGTTCTTCTCCTTCTATGGTCGTCGTCTTCTCTTTCTGCTTCTTCCTTTCCTTCTTTGTCTTGTTTTCATTCTTCTCCTTCTCCCCCTTGTGTTCCTCCTGCATATATATATATATCAGTTTTCAGGGCTTACCAGAAGACAGGCTTTCGACTCCATTACCCAGAAGGCCAGGGAGCTGAAGGTAGGGGGCCACCTTACCAGCTCAAAGCTCCGGGACTGGTTGATATCAAGACAGCGTTACTGGGGCACACCCATTCCTGTGGTGCATTGTGAACGTTGTGGTCCAGTTACTGTCCCCGAGGAAGATTTACCGGTCACCTTGCCAAAGCTGCCGTCTCTCACCGGAAAAGGGGCATCGCCTCTGGCAGCTGCCCATGACTGGGTCAGTTGCAAATGTCCAAGGTAAGATTATTTTGATTCACTATAATAATTACACATATTTCTGGCGTTTGTCCAAAACCTCCAATGTCACAATTTGCTCATTTTCCCATTTATTTTTACAAATCGATATTGTTGGTCCATTCGCAGACTCTGCACATGAGTTATTTTTGACATATTATTGCCTTTGCAATGTTAATTAATGAACAAACATGCAGTTTTGGGGGAGGCTCCTGAAGAGTGATAAGTTGTGATATACAAAGTCCTGCAGTTTAGGGAATAGTGCTGAAACAAAGTCTAATTTTATTTTTAACAATGCACACAGGCAAACATTAAATATAAGCAAACAAGATGTGTTGACTATAATAGATACAATAGGTAAACATTCAGGTCTGATTGTCAGCTGTAGCTCATTAGCTGAGATCAACGCTTGCTCATGGAATTTCTTTTTGTGCAACACGGAGGCCATGAGTTCTCCAGCTGCAAGGTGCCCCACTGACAATTAACAACCACATTAAATGGTAGTGGAGGGTAGTTATTTTTGCAAAGACAGCTAACTGCTCTCAAAATCATGTAAATAACTGTTTTGCTTTTATAATTAGGCACAGATACTTGCAGCCTGGATAGCATTCGGTGCAAATGTGGCTAAACGCATGGTTTTGCAACTCATCGCTTCATGTATGGATTGTTCCCAGCTTCGTAAAACATTAAACATTGTTGATGTTGCTGGTAATACAGTTTGTCGTGGCTCATGAAAAACATTAGGCTGCAAACCTACAAAAATCTCAACTCCGCTTGTTATTGAAACTGTAAGATTCATTTCAAGTGTTTTGATCGTCCTTAGTTTTTCAAAGATGAGCAGTGGGAAGTACACCAAATTGGAATGTTCGAGAGGGAAAAAAAGAAACTCTCATGACATATTGTCGCTTTCAATGTTTTAATTGCTGCTACCTTTTTAAGCTTCACAGCATTCACTCCCCCTTGAACTCTTGAAGTCTTTTTAAGTCAGATCAAGACTCTCCAGGCCCTGCTGACGTGCAGGTGGGCAGGATAGCAAGCGACGTCTGAATCACCACCCCCCAATTGAGTACAATCACATTTCCAGATCAGTGGCTTTGCTCATATACGTCATGTTGCAGAAAGGCAGAAAGGGTAGATAGAGAATGTTCCTTGCTTTTGATGCAACATTTCAGAAAGTGAAACTCTTCCATCATTTTGTTTGCAGAATAAGATCAGAAAAATGTTGCTGTATTTTCTCCTGACAAAATGAGGACTAGCCGAGCCCTTAGGAGCAGATGGAGCTTGAAGTGAGAGCCTACAAATTGTGCAACCATTATGCTTTTGATTCTGATTGGGTTTTGTAAGAAAAGATGTCTGAGATAAGAGAAGCATGAGATGATGATTACGATCTAGTTTACGTCAGGCAACCAAAAAGTGGTGAGTGAAATTTACGTGCGCGAACACCTATTGGCTGTGAATGAACTTGTATTGAAAGAACTGAAAATGCAGATTAACTTCTGGTGCTGAGGTGGGAATTTGTGGCTCAATAAAATGAATCACTGCCATGGCGCCATGTTGATTAAAACAATGGCCCAATCAGTTGTGGATGGCACAAGTCATCAGATAGTGTTCACACATTTCCACAAAGCTACAAGAAATCCTTCCGTCAGATGTGATTGATGGGCGTAATTGCGAAGGCGCTGTTAGCGTCTCACTCCCCATCTCCCCTCCGCTGTTGAGTGTCGGTGGAAATTTGTTCCCTTCTCTCGTCACGCTTGTCCAATTAAAGTTTGAGGGGAACGCAGAAGAACACGGTGATGAGAGCTGGGCGGCTGGGATGGAGCTTCATCTGTCCTTGAGGATGTCATATCCTGTGTGCTCATCACGTCTTCAACTCTCTGCAGCTCTGTGAAGTGGCCTGCTGCTAACTCGGCTTAGCTTGGCTACAAGCCAAATTTGTTGTGCCACAAATTCCCAAGTAAAGAGAAGCCATGTTGGTGCCACTTTGACAGATGAGGATGGAACAAATGGAGACCCACATTCCAGTGTGCTGCTTACCTTCCTTCATCGGTTTTCAAATCTTTTCACTGTCAGCTTTATCCTATTAATACGTTTAAAAAATACACTACAAATCTCTTCGTTACTGCTTGAGTTTTATACTCCCCTAGGGAGCCGTAGCTGCAACCAGAAAGACGAAGGACAACAGAAATGCCTTTTGAGTCCCAACTGATATCGGCATGTGCTTTTTTTGTGGAGCCCCCACATAGTACATGCATGATTGATTGATTGTCTCTATGTTGAACAAGTAAATAAAAAAGTAATCAAATTAAAAATGTAAATAAAAATATGCATATACTGTGTGTGTGTGTGTGTGTGTGTGTGTGTGTGTGTGTGAGAGAGAGCGAGCGAGCGAGCGATGGAGAACAATACCAAACAATAAAGAAACTAATAATAAGCCGAAGTTAAATACGAATTGCAAAACGTTCCTTTGCCTAACTAGAAACTGAATTTCACTTCAGTGGAATAAATAAAATCTGTTCTTTTGTTGTTTATTTTTTTTCATGGCTCAAAGCAGACTCACAACTGTGTGTGCCAGCCCGGCTAATCTTTAGGAGTGTGTACCAGCTGTCTGTCCAGTCACCACATTCTGTCCTCTGATTGTCCAGTCTGGTGTGAGGAAAAATGTGCCAAATCTCCCACACTTAGAAAACCTTTCTAATGTCTCACTATCTGTTTGGGTTCTTTGGGGATAGCCTTGACATGGCTTCCTTCTTTTCATTTGTGTGAAATAACACCTGGCTTCCAAATATTAACCTTGTTACACCTTAGTATTGTTGCTAGGCAACTTCATGGTCTTATTTCATTATCACTGCCATTTTAGATAGACTAGTATGGCGGACGGCCCAGGGGTTTTGCCTTTCTGTCATAAGTGATTTTGTTTGAGTAAAATGTTGGAGAGAAAGACTAAGTCAAGATGAGACATATCCATCCATGCATTTTCAGAGCCGCCGATCCTCCTGGAAAATAAAGAAAATCCAGAGGCGCATCTGTGTTTACTGTTTTATTACTGTAATATATATATATATATATTAGCAGTCTGGGAATATTTAAACTCTATCGAGACTCATTATGAAGTGCCAAGCATTTAACTTCACTGTTCCGCTTCCTGATTCCATTTATGTAAACACGGTATTGCAAATGTTTTTTTGTCTCTTCAAATCTTCTCCCTTCCTCTGTCAAATGTTAAATTGGCTGATTCACATCACGAAGCAAATACGGTTTGGCTGCGGTCATACAGGGCACAAGGTGACATTTCCAACACAAATACATGATCATTCCCTTGTTAGCACAGCCTGCTTGTCAGGGCATCGGACCAATGTTCCAGTGCCAGTTTGCTTTCAACTGTGCTTGTCTACAGAGGCTTGACCTCCACAGCCAGATGGAGGCACCGTCACATTCACAACAGTGAGCACATATAAATATCACACAGAGATGCCAATTCTGCAGGCATACAAACAGGGGCCGGTGATGTGTTGGCTTTTCTAATTTACAAGCTTAATATTGATGCTGTCCCACATTACCGTCCTTTTTTTTTTTTTTGTGGCTCTCGTTTCAGATGTAACGGCCCAGCAAAAAGGGAGACTGACACCATGGATACGTTTGTAGACTCAGCCTGGTATTACTTTCGCTACGCTGACCCTCATAATACAGAGAGGTATGGACAGTCTTATTCTGTAACTTGACAGTATTGTTTCATTCCTGTCTGATTGTCAAAGACCAATTTTTTTTGCTTTTTGCAATTTTTAATGATACTTTTAACATGAGTCTCAGTTGCCATTTACATATGCCAAATCTTTTTCTTTGCAGATACAAATTATCACTCAGATTTTTTTTTTCTTTAATGCACACACTAGACACATCATTCGGTACTGCCCGCAATTCAATAAGAATTAATTTTACATTTATCTAAGACCAAACATTCTGTAAATATACACACATGTTGCACTAAAATTTAGAGGCCACACAATCAAAGCCACAAAGCTTAAAAAACACCCCTTGGTGACAATTTCAGATTTTGTTTTTTTTTTTTGAGGGGGTGGGGGATAACGACACTTAAGCGATCTTAAACCTTTTATCTTGTTTGTGTTTATTTTTTTAACTGAACAAAAACGGTAAAAAGTGGCATTAAATCGACTCGCTTTCAGCAAGCTGCTATGTGCCCGAATATCACTTGTGCAGTTTACGTATGTTTTATGTTTCATTAAATATCCTGCATTGCTTATGGAAAATTTGACCCAAATGACACAATGGCTTGTTGTCTTCAACTTAAGATGTTCCACCATTTTAGAAACTAAATTACTGTTCAATAATTATGATCCTCAAAAAGCTGTGCAGGTCCACCTGAAATAATTATATGCACATGGAAGCATATCCTGACACACATGATTGTCTGCTATCACCCACTCTCCCACTTAACTATTTCGAGCATGCATATTATAGCCTGAATGGTTATTCCTCCACCCACTTACACACACAGATACACACTGAACACACTCAACTCTTTTTCTCTCTCTGTCTCTCTCACACACACACACACACACACACACACACACACACACACACACACACACACACACACACACACACACACACACACACACACACCATACAAAGTTGAACTCTCTGCCCATAGGGATTATGGAGCCTTGGTTGTCACTTGCTGGGATGTTGGTGATACCCAAAGTTTAACAACACAGATTTTTATTTTTCCCAGCTTCTTGGCCAAGCCGGAAAGCCGCTTTAAAAGGCATTTGCGGGGGACTTCCCATCTCATCCATTTTTTTTTTTCCTCAGGATACATTATGGCGCAATAGAAAAAGCAATTACACAATTTGTGTATTTCAGTCGATCTGCTCAGTCTTATGTGCACGGATGTGAAAAGTAGGATGCTTGTCATGCTGAGAGAAGCAAGCAGGAGAGGGAGGAAATAGAAATGTATGTTTTGATGTATTAGAGCAACGTTGGCCAAATGCCAACTCACAGGCCAAATTATTTTCAGGCTTGCAAGTTCATAACTTTATCCCATGGTTCAATTATCACCAGACACCAGTCGCCAAAGACGGGAGGAAGAGAGGCAGAGAGGTGTGGAGGAGAGTAATTACCAGAGCAATGTGTGACACATGCTGTAGATAGCGCTCTGCTGACCATCAAGCCGTAAAGCTAGCCATATGCAGCCCTCACTCGCGCCATTATCTGATATATCTTTCTCTATAACCGCTTTTCTGCTAATAAGATGGGTAGTGGAAGAGTCATCAAAGCTGGGACGAAAAACACATCGCTGGCTTTTATTTTGTTTCTCCATGTGAAGAATTGTAAAAGACCCAGATTCAGAAATAAATGTATATAAAACAGAACATTTTGCTTTTTGCGTTGTTCCACATAGAAAAAAAAACATTTTTTGCAGTTTCAAATTGTGTCATTGCAGTGTTTGAACATGTGCAGGAGAGACACAAGAGCCATTTTTATTCGATATTAAAAGAAACAGGCAGTTTGTTTGAAAAAATAGAGAAAACAGTCTTGGAGAGGGATCAGGGTAGCTAAGTCGAAGGTTACCATTACTTAAATTTCATCTGCACATTGATTTATTTTTTTAATGCCTTTTTTTTTTTACTTTTGCTTCTTGATCAGTGTTTTGATTATTTTCATGATGTTTTTCACCATAATTTATAACAACGTGAAAATTAAAACTCATTAATGTAGTATCCCAGGCTCCGCAAGGTATGCTGTTGTGTTGAAGTACAAAACATTTTACAACCATCCATTCATTTTTGATACCGCTTATTCTCATTAGGGTCGCGGCCGTGTTTTAGCCTATCCTAGCTGAATTTGGGCAAGAGGCGGTGTGCTCCCTGGATTGGTCAGGCAATCAATGACATTTTACAGAAAAGAAAAATCACATTTGGATCAGAATAATTGCGCGATAATTCTCAAAATAATGTGTAGAAGCAAACGGCAAATTCGTATTAGATCAAAATTCGTCTGGCAAGAATAAATGACATGGCTACTTTCTGAATTTTGTGCATGGGATTTACTCATATATGTCACACGCGAGGTATGTAAAGCAGGAGTGTGCTTTCCTGAAACACGTAAACTCTTTCCCTTGTCCAATCTGGGTTACATCACACTGGAGCTCAGGTAAAATATAAATAACTCTGACATGTGCCTCTCCCTTGTATATGAGCTCCAGTGTGAACTAAACAAGAACAGAGGGGGTGCGGTTCCTCAAAGTGCACCCACATCCTAAGTATCTCCTGCGCGAGATTCCTGAACCGCATGTGCGATTTCGCTCACTAGATGGGTAAAGTGTGAGTTAGTCGTGCGCATGTGTTGTAACTCGCGTGTGTTACATAAAATATATAACAAGTCCTTGACATCTCCCGGGTTTTGTAATACCCACGAAGAATTCTGCATGTTTTTTTTCCCTCTTTCTCTAAATATGATCTTTTCCTTGAGGCCTTTTGAGCGCCACCTGGTGGATCGCTGGCTCCCTGTGGATGTATACATTGGGGGAAAGGAGCATGCCGTCATGCATTTGTACTATGCACGCTTCCTCTGTCACTTCTGCAAGGATCAGGGGCTTGTGGCGCACAGGTATGTTTTCTATGTTCTGTGTCGGCTCAGTTAGTGTGCACGTAATTTGTCTCTGTATGAATGAATGCGCCATCCATTTCTTTTTACAGGGAGCCTTTCAGAAAGCTACTTGTCCAGGGTCTGATCAAAGGGCAGACTTTCCGACGAGCAGACAGCGGCCAATACCTAAAGAGAGAAGAGATAGACTTCACAGGTGCATGCAGACTGAATCCGACAGGTGTAATTTTGTCAGATAAAGCTGCTCAAAAATAACATCAGAGATACAATCTCAAAAGCAGCAAGGATAAGTGTGGTATTTTTCTTTTTTGTTGTTTGTTGCAATGTTCATTGCTTGAATGCTTTCAAAAGTCCAAGGATAAAATCAGACAATACTGCCTTGCAGAGAGGGAAAGTCTTGCACATCAGCCATGATACTCTGAATAGATCTGTTTGTAGAGAATGTAGCCAGTGTCAATACAGAGTCAAGCATTCACACGAATGCTTTTGCACCTTGTTCTTTTATGCATTTTTTTGAAGTTGATGAGTTATTGTGTGAATGCACACGTTATTTTGGTTTTTCTTCTGCCCATTATTTTGAGATGCAAGTACTTCCATGTAATTCATCCGATTCACATCATAACAATTTCAGCTTATTCCAAACATTCACAGTTTTGCTTAAATGCTACCTTTTCAACCACAAGTTGACCGTTGATTCCTAAACGAAATATTCAACATAACAGATTCACATTTTTCCAATTTGAAGTTCAAAACATGCATCTCATTCAATTTACCATAGGAACAATTTTCAACTTGCCAGAAATTTCCATTGACCTAAAATTCTTAATTTTCACCACTAAACTCCTTACAAAAACCAAAACATTACTTATTCAATCCCAGTTACACATTCAACTAAACAGATTCCCATTTGGAAATTCAAAGCACTCACATTTAATTTGCCATGCTAATGATTTTCAACACGCTAAAAATTTCCTCCAGAATTCCGCATTTATTCCCCTTGCCCATCTTTTAATGACTGCGTATCATTCAATATCATTCCATGTCATTCAACATCAACAACAACCTCCATATTTTTTTCCATTCAACATTTCAGCATTCACACGCAATTTTGCCAGAAAATGGCAATGTCTAATTTTAATTCTTCTTGTTTTTTGCTACATTACAAAGTACTCTATTTGCACATTCTGCAAAGAACTATAATTTACCAATTATTTTGTGCGCCAGTGCACATGGTTTTCATCGGTATGAAAAATACAATGAATTGCAATCGTCAGAAAAAAGTGGCTTTTTTCCCCAGTCAATTTTAAGTAGTTCAGCTCAATGAAGGCTAATATCGACAATAGAAAAATAGCCGTGTTTTCACTGACCTTTTACTCTTCCTGCCTCTGTTAGAAAAAGAGCCAGTGGCATTAGGAGGCGGAAGCGTGGAAGTGACATGGGAGAAAATGAGCAAATCTAAACACAATGGTCTGGACCCCCAAGAGGTGGTGCAGCATTACGGTGTGGACACAGTGCGACTCTACATCCTTTATGCTGCACCACCGGAACAGGACATCCTCTGGAATCTTAAAAGTGAGATCTTAGATATTCCTGTTGGTTTTAGAGTCAGTTGGTGGATATTTGTTTGTTTCCTACCAAATGAATGTAATTCTGACCCCACCCCAGAGGATGCTCTTCCTGGGGTCTTGCGCTGGCAGTCCAGACTGTGGCAGCTTGTGACCAAGCTGCGACACGCTCGGCAACTTGGTGACATCCCGAACCCCTCCTTGCTGCAAAAGAAGGAGCAGGCAGAGTCAAAGAAGATCTGGGAGAACAAGAACTACGCAATTCAGGAGGTAGTGATGATATCCTGCGATACTGAGCTACTGCAATAGTTCTCACCAGGAGGGGTCAGTAGATAGCCTGGTTTCTAAGTGTCAGCTTTTCATGTCCAACCTACATTGCCAAGAGGAACGGTTTACCCACTGCTTCTCTCACCTTTGTCTGTTTTGACTTTGAGTCCTCCACAAGACGAGTTATCGTGCTAACATGCAATGACAAGATTAATATGCCCATCATTACATGCCAGTGCAGCCATTCTAAACGTAAACCCCCCGAGTACAGGGGAGGAGGAGGACTGGCTAGAAATTGATTTCAAACCTACTCAGTCTCTCCCACACTTTATAAATAGATGTCCATTCCTGCCAGGTTGGATTTTCTTTCTCCGCCCCTCAAGCCTGCAGCTTTTATAGGATATCAGGCCTGTTAGCCTTAAGCTCTCAAAGCTAAGGCTGTGCTTTGAATCACCCCCCGGAAAAAAAGCCTCAGTGATCAGCCTCTACTTCCCTCAGACCCTTCCCAAAAGGGATTTCTCCTCCCAATGGGCGAAGCTAGGAAATATTGACCTAGTCAGAGCAGTGTATCTTCAGCTGGCTATAACAGGCTGGAGGTGTGCATCCTTAAGGCATGTTATATTTCTCTTCAGAGGCAGCACGAATCCCCAGGCCAAGTAAATGACTGATGATGGCTCTGATTTAAATACAACACCACTGACTATAAAGGTTTTACTATCTGACTCTTCATCTGTTTTTTTTAAAAATATCCATGAGTGTTATTTTTCATTTTAGGTCACATCTCACTTCACGGAAGACTTCTTGTTCAATGCAGCCATTTCTCGCCTCATGGGACTAACCAATACATTGAGTGTGAGTGAACACTGTCCTGCCCTCTTTTGAGTTCAGTGAGCATCCCCCGACTACCGTTATGTGTGTTTCTGTGCCCAGAGCGCAAGTGTGAGGGTGTTGCAGCACAGTGTGGAGTTTGAGGATGCTCTGGCCACGCTGATTATGATGACGGCACCCATGGCGCCTCACCTGGCCTCTGAACTTTGGGCAGGTGGGTGCAAACAAAACGATATCTTCGCCGAATAATCAGGTTACTTTCATTAGTTTGGTTCTGGCTTCCAGCTGGATAAAAAATGCAAATCGAGGCACGAATGGAGCATTTCTGCAATCATACAAGCTTATAGTTCAATAAAACCAGAAGCAGCCTGATATGAAACAAACACGAATGTGGCGCTCCACAAATTTATCACCTCACAATTTTTGGATCTTTGTGCTTTACCAACCTCTATTCTATTTAGTAAAAGAGATTGGTAGATTTTAAAAGGTTCTTGATTTTTCAGGAAGTTATTTCTGTCAGCCCAAACATGGACTTAGCACACCAAGCAGCAAGAGGAAGTGTTGACACTGCTCCTTCTTCTAATCCCAGCAAATGCCCAAAAATGATGTAACCAACCATCATCAAATTTCTGATACTATCGTCAAGTTCACTGAACATACATTAAGTGTCCTTTCAATGACATGCATTCCTTGCTGTAATCTCTTGGCCCGGTGTAGAAAACAAACAGTTGGAAGGAAAAGATTCAGCGTCATCTTCCGTTCCTCACGTGGCAGCTTCCAACTCCGAATCAAGGACAACATCCTATCATTGTGGATGACACACATAACCACCATTTCTGCATGCAATTTTAGAATATGTACTCTTCAGCAGATCACGACAGTTTGATAGAGGCTGGCTGGAAGGGAGGTGCGCATATTACATGCCCACTTTTGTGCTTGTGTGTGTTGTATCAAAAAAAAAAAAAAATTACAAACAGGACATGTGTGAGCTCACGTGACATCTGGTAACATGTTATGCCTCACTTTCAATTTGAAGTTCATTACCCTCCTTTGTCTTTCCTGTGGGATGCGACTTTGTTGTTGAGAAAATAGAAGGAGAATTTTGGGTATTCCGTTACTTCATCGACTATAAGATACAGGCTTAGGACTCATGCTCTGCAACAACAGATATCATCAAAGAGTGGCCTCAAATCTTATAAATGCTGAGCAACAATTAGTCAGGTAGCTCCCTAAATAGAAGCCTCATTTTTTTCCCCCGCCGGGAAAAAAATAGCAGGTGGTTACTGTACGTAGCTGAAATCACACTGTCACATTTTGTTCACCGAGCAGTACTTTACACTTAATTGGAGGTCAAGGTTTCTTTTTATTTCTTTTTTTTTAACAAACCATCCCATGAGGACTGTGTTGAAATTGAAAACAATCACTTCATAATCACCAAATGAGACAAACAAAATACACATGAGCATGGTCTTTCTGTCACGTTGCGGACAAAGCGGAAGGGAACCCGCTTCGCTCGCAACCTAGGTGATCTAAAGGATTCCCGAAACAGCAGACAACAACAAGAACTACGTATGAAAATAAGATTTATTTAACAAAAACCGCACCGCAAAAACGAGACAACAGAAAACGCTGGCAAAAACGAGTACCAGGAAAGGCACGAAAAAACCGAATAACAAAAAACGCTCGCACGAAGGCAAGGAGAAAACACACCGAGAATACACACTCCAAATACGAACTAGCGCACAAAGGCGAAATGTCAGGTAGCTCCCTAAATAGAAGCCTCATTTTTTTCCCCCGCCGGGAAAAAAATAGCAGGTGGTTACTGTACGTAGCTGAAATCACACTGTCACATTTTGTTCACCGAGCAGTACTTTACACTTAATTGGAGGTCAAGGTTTCTTTTTATTTCTTTTTTTTTAACAAACCATCCCATGAGGACTGTGTTGAAATTGAAAACAATCACTTCATAATCACCAAATGAGACAAACAAAATACACATGAGCATGGTCTTTCAGCTGTGCATCAAGTGCAAATTTGAACTGATATATCGCAGAACAAACTCACATGTAAATACCGGTACCGGTAATCCACTCCTGTAGAAAAGTGCTTCAATCATACCTTGTGTGTTGCTTACTAAATCCAAGCAAGAATTAAAAAACACCCATTACAGGGGGTCTATGCAGAGGCAATTCTAGCATCAAGGGTCTAGCGGTACTGAGTTCCCGGCCAGGCATGATTGATTTGACAGTTTTTGCCTTGTAACACAATTTCATTCACACATTTATGAAAGAGCAGCATAACATGTTTTAGTAAAGTCTGACTAAACCTTTAAATCTGATCAACTTTCTTTAAATGTCACGCTGCAGGAAAAGAGGAATGGATTGGATTTGTAAAAGCAACATAGTCTTACCATGCTAATTTCTGGGTGAAGTCAATTCATTTTGATACAGCAGCACCTACACGAGCACATTAACAGTATGCGTTTTTCTGAAGTAAACCAGCCCCCTGTAGTTAGTACAAAACAAATTTAATTTTCAAAAAAAATAATAATAATTGCAGGAACTTTTATTTGAAAAGCAATGCACAGCATGGACGTTGGTGAAAACTTCTTGTTCAGGTCTTTGCCAGGTGAGCAACCCCATCAGCGGCACACTGCGGCGCGGTGGAGATGTCCTGTCACAGTCCTGGCCTACTGTCGATCCCAGCTACCTGGAGAGCCCCGACTTTGTGGACATTTCTGTGCGGGTAGGATCACACAGACGCACATCCTCAGACAAACCTTAATGTGGCAGAGACTTTTTTTTTTCTTTGCATAAAACAGCCAAACCGTCTCCCTTAATTGTCCTTTTTGTTTGGGAGATGAAGGGTTTCACTTTAGCATCAGTACATTTGTTCCTTTGTTTACATACATCGCTGATGTCACATGCACATGCATTTGTCCTCTAATCCACCACCATTTCAACTTTTGAAGCTCAAGTCATAGTCCATGAATACATCCACGCTCTGTAATTTTGAAGAGAGCCTGTGATTAGCATGTGCACGTGCTTGTCTGTGTGTGTGTGTGTGTGCGCGTGTCTGTGTGTATTTATGTGTCTGCATGTTAAGACTCCTTGAAACTGAACAGACAAGTGGGTCAATATTTAAAACCCAGTTTTACTGCTTATTTTGGCAGCTGTCTTGCCTTTTTTTTCTTGTTTTGATTTTTTAATGAGCACAAATTCTTTTGGCCACATCATCCTCTATCAATAAATGCGTGTTGTTTGATTACTTTCAAAGACATTTCCTGCAAAGATCTCCACTGTGAGACCCAAAGGATTATCTCAAATAATCAGACAATATCCCAGAAAATGAATTACGTGGATTAGCCGTTGCCCTTGCTAACAATGACAACATGATCCCAACGTGGCAAACACACACACACACACACACACACACACACACACACGCGCACGCACACACACGCACACACACTGATTGAGTTAATTTTACACAAGTGTCACTGTTTTGAAAGTGGCCACCATGAAAGTGCTATAATCTGTCATTGTTTTTCTTTTTCTTTTGTCTCTCTTGATAAATTATTGATCTTCTTTTGTTCTCACACGCACACACTCACACACACATAAATATAACACATGTAAGCCAACTTCCAGTCTTTTAACAGCTGTTTGTATTTGACTTGAAAACACACTTTGGCGTATTTATATATATTACAGTTGTTGACTTCATTTTTACCTCCCCTGTGTCCTCCTTTGCGCTGTAAATATCTTTGAGCTCATCGTGCTGGCTGGTGATGATTTGACACACAAGATCCCTCTCTTGTGGGCTTCTTCATCTCCTGCCTGTGTCCTCTAATCACATACTTCCGGGGACTCCATGCCTGAGTGGCCTCCAAGAGGCACGCAAGCACGCACGCACACACAGATGAATGCTTCTAGAGACGGCATCACACAGAGGAAGTCTCGACGTTCCCACTCATTGTGTACACTTGCTTCTAAACCTACAGCACCGAAAGACACTTCCTCAAACTACCACTAACTATAGGTTGGGAGGGTCAACGGCATGTGGAAGGAGAAACTTTCATTTGCATGCCAAAGAATGATCTTACTTTTATCTTGCAATCATAGATGGAGTTGTGGCTTTGATATTTCTTTCAATTCTCACCCCCAGATTAACAACAAAGTTTGTGGGACAGTGACCGTACCTCTGCTGGTGTCCAAAGATATAGATCAGGTGCAGAAGCTTGTCATGGAAAGCCCCCTCGGACAGACTGTTCTCAGAGAGCTGCACATCAAGAGAGCCATCCTTTCCCCCCGGACTGCCCTCATCAATTTCCTAGTTGGATGATGACATTTGACTCTCCGTTAATGCGACTCTTTGGTGGTGGGGGGAAAAAAAGAAGACTGTTATGCATTGTAAACTTGTATCAGGTGTGGGAAAATTTTAATATTGTGGTCATTTTCCATCATATCTATTATGGTACAGTATCAAGATATTGGCATCAGTAGGTGAGAGTAATACTGCGGTCTGACGTAAAAGTGCATGCCGTTGCGTCCTTAATGACAAGTTTGAGTCGGAAAGCTTTTCACCTATGTATGCTATCAGCACTTTGTGTCTAAACAGTCACTGAAGCCACATTTTTTAATTTTAACTTTTGGCTCCTCCGCTACGCGATCAGTTTTATTTTGATGAAGACTCACCATATACCCTTGAATAGAGACAATCATTGTTACTTTGTTTTCACTAAACAAGAACAACATACCGGTAGTTTTTTAAATTTTTTGCAGATGAATGACAATCATGATTAATTTTGCTGAACAGAGGATAAGTGATGCATATGAACTACATTTGAGTTTCCATTATATTTACAATGAGTGAATCTGTTTTTCCCCTCACTCTTAATGAACAGCATTTCACCACTCTTATCATGGAAATAATACAGAACGTGTATTTTTGTATCCATTTTTCACTGGTTAATCTGCAAGTCTGCTTCAGCAAGTTTTACTTCTTTGGTTGCATAGTCAATGCATTTTTAAACCAACGATCGCTGCAAAATGTGATAAGAATGTATCATGGGTCATTTTGCAATTTTCTACCTCTATATATTAAAAATATGATGTAAAGATATTTTACTAGTTGCTTTGTTTTTCATTCTAATTCAAAAGAGTAGAAAGTGCCCCCCCCCAAAAAAATAGGAAGTTCGATATGGCTCTCTAGCAATTCTCTCCTTGTTTTGTCAAGCGTTCTTGAGTGCCCCACAAGAACTCAAATTCCACTCAAGATTCCAATCATGTTTTTTACCAGACTTCTTTTTTGCTGATTTCCGCCGCAGGCCGCCATTTCTGGACACAAGGCCTTTCCGGCTCCTCCAAAAGGTCACTCGGAAGACTTTGTCGTTCATCAGATCAATGTCAGTGCTCTTGGGCTAGTTTCATGTGGCCTTTTAGCATTTTCCTTCCAGAGCACATGCATCAGCAACACAGACTGTTTTCATGTGTGCTCCCAAAAGCTTATCTTTAATTGACTGGGTGAGTAAGCCACTATGTGCGATGTGCACACATTTTTCATTTCCTGTACAAGCAGTAAATACATTTCCAGATTCAGTATGTAATTGGAGAAAGAAGCACACAACCAAGGCCAGCTTCAGGGTTAGGAAATGTTTCTAATTTTATGATCAAAGAAGCTCTACTCTTGACTGTTCAAATCACACCATTTCAGCAAGTTCTGTCGAGGTCTTGCCTTTTTTAAGGAAGTCACAGGCAATTCGAAACTTGCAGACAGAAGCTGAAACTGAACATTCCTCACTGATCTTGTGAACCTTTTCCCCATATTCCCGTGCTCTATCTGTCAGCGTCAGGTGATGGGAAACGCAGACGGGGAGAATAACAGGAAGGGATACCAGGAATTGGAAGAGCGAGGAAGCAAAGCGTCAATGCTGTGTTGTATTCAATTGTTATTGTGTCACGTTGTAGTCATTTAATTGCGTGCTGTCACAGCGCAGTAGGTGAGAGTGCTAAAATTATGGTGTTGCCTCTGCAAGTTATTTATTTTCACACTTTAAACCTGTGAAGGAAGAAATGGAATTATGGATGGTACTTGTTTAACTTTGGTATGTCCACCTTTGTAGTACCAAAATGCTTATCCCACTTTATATGTTTATGTTCTACTCCCCTTCTAGCAACATTTGATAACAATAAAATGGTCTGCAATTATACACCCTGAACAAAAAGTTGACAGTCCAATTTTCTCTGAAAAATGCCATGGTCATTTCAATCAGCATCAGGAAGTATTTCCAATTATGAGGTCACCGCACGTGTGAATATGTGCACGTTCATTTAAAATGAGCCTTTTAAAACATTCCCATTAAGAAAGCATTTTATCACTGACAGCCCCCCAGAACATTTTTACACATTTAATGTCAGCCCTGCAGTTGCCATGACAACTAACATCACTGAACATGGGTGACTCATTCAGTTTTTCAGCACTTTGTGTGCAGCGATGGCTGTTTGAAAGTGCTCTGTAAATACAGTTGAGTTGAGTTATAGTTCGCCTTTATACTTGAGATGTATGGCAGCAATTGTCCATGATGAGCTACAAAAGTCTTGCCACACAGTTGCGAGCTATAATATATAACACTTCATTTGGTATTACATTTGAGATAAAGTGCCTTAAAACTGTAACAACCATGATTGAGATACTAAGACTTGGTAACATTGCAGTGCTTTTCAATTTCTAAATCGCTTTTTTTCTTGCAACATGAATGTAACTTTGGATACATAGCAGTATAGAATGGATATACTGTATAGCAGTTTCGAATGTGCTTTACCTCCTCTTTCAGATGCTGCAAAAATGCAATTGTTTTTTCCATGTTCATTTTAATTATTAAGAAACTAACTCAGTCTAATAAAACATCCAACCTCATACGTTTAAGAACTAATTTAGTTCCTGACAGCATTTTTGAGCTCTGTAAACATAGGGTATGTATTCAAGCTTCACTTACTGGCACCAACATTTTAAAAAGCCAATGTGTAATTCATCCACTATTTCCAAGGTCAAATTCTAGGACTTTAATAACTCCTGCATTTGAACTCCTTTTCTCTTGAGTTTCACACATGCAGTGGTGAGCTTATGTGAAGAAACATTTCTTGCTTGAAGGCGGAGTTGCATAACGGTGATTGTTTTCCCCAAACCGATACGGATGTAGTGCCCTATAAAGCCTGTGTTTTTAATTAAAGCTGCTGCCCGCTACCTCTTTGTCACATCAGTTGGGATTTAAAGCCTATTACGTTGGCTTATATGTACCAGTGAGGTTCACTCTGCAATAAGGAGGGGTCATGGGCTGGAATGTGTGACATCACTCAGCCAAAACAGAGGGGCCTGTAAATAGCCCACCTCAACCACCAAGTCTAACACACCCGTGCACAGTGATTGTGGTCTTGCTTTGCTGTCCAATGCATGATGAAAGAAAGAAGTTTGAAAGTTACCTAACCCTAATCCAACTGCTTATTGCATTACTCATAATTATCTACTGATTGTAAATAATACCCATCATTCTAACTCTCTCTAGTGCCCTAAATGGGGTTGTAGGACTACAGCAACAATTCACGCCAGGGATTCCCAAATTGTAGTGCTGAATGCACCCACCTCAGCCAGGATGTTACAGGGGAGGTGGGGCCTAAATACTCTGGCTGATTGACACTCATTTTCTTCATAGAACTAATTGTTAGTCTGCAAAATAACAATTATAGCTTGTCCAGGACCAAAGGGGTAAAAGTATGTTACAAACCTTTGAGGGTTCTCACCAGGTTAAAAAAAAAAACAACTTTTCAATAAATCACTGCAATAAAGCCCCTCACCACCTTCAAGGCTCGCAATAGCCCAACTCCCTTCAGTCTCACGTGGCGTGCCTCAAGGCTGTTTCGAATTAGTCCCCTATTTTTCACACATTTATAACACAGAATCTCAAAAAAATCATCCTCTGTCATCTTATGGAAATCCATCAATCCATTTTCTACAGCGCTTGTTCTTGATCAGGAAGCTGGTGAACAGGAATATATCCCATCTGACTTTGGGCAAAAGGCAAGGTGCATCTTGGACTGGTCGCCAGGTAATCACAGTTCAAGTATGGACAACTGTTCACACTCATGTTCGCACCCATGCACAATTTAGAGTGTTTGTTGAATATAACCTGCCTGATTTTAGGATGTAGGTGGACCCTATGTTTCCGTACAAGCATGGGGAGAACATGCAAACTCCACATAGGAGGGTTATAGTCGAAATTCAAACCACAAACCTCCCAACTGTAAGGTAGAAATGCCAACCACTACTTCATGTGTTGCCCAGTAACAAATCATTGTGCCCTATTAATCTTCCCTCCCAAAATGGAGCTGCTGTGGCTCCCAGAGGTGTCAAAAGTACTCACACTGTGTACTTAAGCAGTACCAGGTGTGGTGCCAAAGGCTTTTCTCTCCCAAAAAAGTAATTTATAAATATATTTTAGAATATGAAATTAAATGTTGGAGGTCTTAACTGGGGCTACACAGATTTCCGATGGGGCTATAGCACCCCCTCTACTGAGTAGAAGTACAAATACTTTTTTAAAAAGTGGTAAAATTAGTCCTGATTGAATTCCTTTATCAAATTATTTTTTTATTTATACAATACCATTTTCTGGGGGGGCGGGGGGGGGTAAATTCACAAAAAATTGCACACAAAATACTTTCCCTCGTAAGGCTATGAATGGAGAATGCATTTTGTCTCAGATAAACTGTATTTTAGAAAAGTGCATGTTTCATTTTTGTAGACATAGATTTGAAATGAATTGGTGGGTTCTGGAATCACCGTTATGTTGAGAGCAGGGGAAATTATGTCTATGAAATTTTATGTTGCTATCCTAACTTTAAATAATGTAATATGAATGTTTCCCAAATAGTTTTCGATTTTAATCACCACACAAATGTAAACTAATCCCAATTCGGTCCAATGACGGAAAAATTGAACGTTTTTCTGCAACTCAGTTAATTCTGACCACACAATATGGATGGAAGTCCGTTGGCCATTAAAATAGAAAGTGGTTTAACATTTGCCTCACAAAGTCGCGTCGTTGATGTTTCGGACGCGTCTCGATTATATTTACCGTGACCACGTGAGTGTTGCCGTGGTTGTGGTCACAATTAAAAAGCAGCACTGTGCCTTTAAAAACAAACTGCTCCTTGTTTCCAGTCCTAACAGTCCACCGGCTGCGCTCAAACTGACACGTACGACGGTGGCGAGGACCCAGGCCCGGCGGACCGTCCGTTCCGGCCAAACAAACCACTTAATTACAACTGAACGTCTGCTCAAAGTACTTTGAATGACTTTTGTTGACAGCGTAAGGAGTTGAAAGTTTTTTCAATGGGTCACCCGCGCAAAGACCAACAGTGAGTGAGTTCGTGAGTGAGGCGGGCGAACGGCGAGAGGAAAGAGGAGGGGGGACCATTGCCCACCGGCTATCGGAGCTGGGATCGACTAGTTGAAAAGAAGACAAGACAGACAGACGGTGGCTTGTTCGCGACGAAGTTGACACACGCAAAGACGCTCCGAGGAGTAGTCTGAACCGAAACTTGGAACTACAAATTTGGATGTAACGGAGAAAAGTTTGAACCTGAGTGTGGATTTGTTTTCCCCCGTCAAAACCGCTAGCTGAAGGACTGTAAATTTAGACTTCACTTTTTTTCTGGACTTTTTACAGTATCTAAACTTTTTGACTCGACCACAGCATCTCCAAAATGGATAAATACGAGGATTTAGGACTGGAGGCAAGTAAGTTTATAGAAGATTTAAACATGTATGAAGCATCTAGAGATGGTTTATTTAGAACAAAGAGGGATGCAGGGAATAATCCTGATTTTGAAGAGACTAGAAGAGTTTTTGCTTCAAAAATGACTAAAATACACATGCAGAAACACCAAGAGGAAATGGCAAGAAACAACCAGGCCTTAAGGATGAATGGGGGTCTCAACAACGCATATTACACGAAAGATCGGCCACCCATCAATAGCTCCAGGCAGCAAGGTGAAGCTGCTGCAAAACCTCCAATACTATCTGGTCCTTTATCGTCTGGAGGTCATTCTTCACAGTTTGATGGCCAGAAGAATCACGCAGCCATTCAGCCTGAGCCTCTAGTCAGCAGGGCATATGGCTACGGAAACAATTCCGCTAATAAGGAGCGCTCAGACCTACATTTGTACCAGAACACCACCCCTGCCGCCCTCGGCCCAGGAAATGCTTTTCACAGTGCACCCATGCACACTCGTCATCCGGTTCCACGGGCCTCATCCCCACAACAGCGCCAGTCTGCATCTCCAACCATGATCAGTCCTCCACCATTACAGAACCCGGATGTCCCCTTCTCATCTAACAAGAGTCCAACTTCTTCATCTTTTCCTAAGGAAAAAACAGACCTCATTCCCTCACTGCCCCTCAGTGCCTTCACAGGAGGGGCCAATTTACCTTCCATACACACTGCAGCTCACTATGCACCATCTTCTCTGACTTCAAAAACATTTTCAAGTCAGAATGGCCCAGCGGTGGCTTCCTCTCAAGTGTCTTCTGAAGCACCTCAAACCAAAGTCCAGGTCGCTTCTGTCTCCAAAAGCTTCAGCCAGAGTCAAGATCAGAGTCAGATACCAAGCTTTGGGAAGGCCATTGGTGCTGAAGCGTCTTCCTTTAAGCCTGTAGAGCCACCACCAGAACACAGCCCGTCAGCTGCTGAAGTCAAATTAGAGGCCCTCACGAATCGTCTGGAAAAGGAGATGAGTTCTCAACCAAAAGCTGACTACTTTGGTAAGATATCAAAATCAATACTAATCCCTCAAGTTCATAATTTTCCAAAAATAACATTGCCCACCCAGAAATTCAGAGCATTAACAAACTAACTGGCTTTTCATTTCTTGTTCTCACACACACACACACACACACACACACACACACACACACACACACACACACACACACACACACACACACACACAATTATCATGCTTGTCATCAATCATGTCACTCCAGACATTTCTCTTTCATAACTTGAAGGGTATCCTGGTGCTCCCCCGTCACTCTTTAATCTTTTCCCTGCTGATAAAATGCCTTCAGCTAGTCAGGCAGACATCAAAGATAACACATTTTCTTTTAATTGTACTTTTTGGAATCCAGAGACGATCCTCTTTTATGTTTTTTTTTTTTTTAATTTGGCGTCTTTTTGAAACGATTAGACACTCACTTCCCAGATGCGGTTCCCTTAAAATGGAAGAAGTGGACATTTTTTCTGAGGGTGTAAAGATTTTAAGGCCACATCAATAACTCGTGTCTTGAGTGAATAATGCTTCATCTAGTACAGTATTGACTTTGTAGTCAGAGTGTAATGTTGCTGCCACAAAGAAATCTCATTATTTATGTATTGGGTTTTTTCAGACCACCTTCCCACTGCACAATACCTGTTTGGCTCAATATTGGTCAGTCAGGCTTCCAAGCATCCCGAGGCCATGGCACTTACAGTAGATGACTTAAACCATTGCTCATTGTTGATTAGTGGAGCAGTTCAGTCGCTATACCATTAAAATATGCTGTGCGTGACTAGCAGTGACTAAAAATGCCGACAGCAATACACTGCACCTCCGACACCTACAAAGCTATCGGATTTCAACTCAGAATTGAATCGCTTGAACCATATGGTGTAACTGTAGCCCTTTGTTTCCAGTGTCCTCTTTTTGTAGACTTCATTGGCGGGTGACATGCTGCTGTGTCACACCATTTAACATCTATCGTCATGCGGCCTACTTTCCCCGCGATTGAAACACAAACCGCATCAGGGTTTACCTACACCAAATTTTGAGGTCACGCAAGTTTATTTTTAGCTTAGAGTCACCCATTTGCGTTGGACTTCTCCGTAGTCCATTACTGGCTAACCAGATTGATTTTTGTGCGAGTATTAATTTCAGTGACAAATGCGCTGGCAAGACACTTGGCAGGGTTGTCCATCATCCACTAAGTCGGCAAGCAAGATAGGATAGTCTGCAGATGTGTTTTTTACGATGAAAGCCTTTTGCTCATGTGCTCTCTCGCTGTTTGAAGATCAGGCCTTTGTTGAGCTAGGAGATGCTATTTGGTGACACAGCAGTGGGCCCAAATTGATCTTATGATATCGGATATCACGCTGGAAACTGTTCAGCACCTTGTTTTCTTACACTTTTCCATACACCCAATCGTGCTTACTCGCCTGCAGGAACTTCCTGGTGGAATGTCACGGTTGTACCCCTCAGTCCCCGCATGTGCGCATACTGATGTGTAAGAGAAGATGTTCTGGCGTACGTCACTGTCACAACAAGGCTCACAAATGGCTGAGCATGTGAATATGACAAATGTGTGGGAGAGCGATGCTGTTTGCAGCCCACCAGAGGAAATGCTTTTTAAAGTAGTGTATCTTTTTTTCTTATTCCCACATCACCACACACAGTCCCGCACTCTCCACCAGGACACAGCTCATCTTCTGAGTCATGCTCTGGTGCAACGTCAGTAATGTGTAGGCTGATCATAAAACAAGTTATTTTCCACACTTTTTGTAAAAAGATCAATTCATTTGTGAATGGGTCACAAAGACTTTGTGGGAAATTGGGTGCTTGTCCTCTCCAGAGTAGAAGAGGATGATATTTCCCAATACATGCAAAAATAATACAATAAATCTGTATGACTGAAATTGTCCTGCCTGAGCCAATCCGGTGAGCCGTACACTAACAGAACTGCAGCTGGAATTACTGGGAAAATGAGGCCAGGAAAGGAATATCTGGAGAATGAGTGCAAGGCATTTTAGAAATGAGTGTTACAGCTCTTAAAACGAAGGCCTTTTTCGAGGTGGCAGTGGAGCAGCTGAACAGACAAAGAGACAAACGCAAACATGAGTGGGTGGGTGCTTCTTTGTCTAGAGATTAATATGTCGAATAGCAAAATAAGTGGTAGGTCATCCTGTTGTTGCATCTGCCCTTTTCTTTCAACTTTCCCCACACATGAACACACTAATTTAGTTGAGTGTTTTGTTGCGTGGAGCTGGAGGATTGATTTACCCCATCCTGCTGTTGACTGGAATGCTTCCCAGGGATTCTTGGCTTCTTTTCCGGCAAGATTTTGGAGGGCCTGTGATTGTGATCCCCTCCCAGGCATGTCACTGTGTCTGATGAATATAGTCCAAGCCTGGTAAATGTGTTTTTTTTTTTTTTAATCCCATGTTTTCACGTGTTTGTTATTTAGCAGGATTATGCAAAATACTATGTATCTCCTTGCCACAAAACGTTGGGATGGCTCAAGGAAGACAGTTAGTCCAACATATGTACTGTAAACTCTCTTAACCAGCCAGTTACCTTGACTAGCCTGGTCGAACTCACTCTATTCACTTTTCTTCAGTGTTTTAGATTGTTATATGATTTATGGCCGCATACAGAGAAGATGATGGCCTGGGCTGAGGGATGGGCAATTTAAATGCTGGCGGTGGCCACAATTTTTCATCAGTGCTACTGGAGGGGCACGCAGACCCATGCACTTCCTAACCAGACATACGACAAAAATTCTATTTCAAATATGGACAGACCATGTCCTCTTCATGTATTTTATTTTTGGTAATATGTTTTTCATTGTATGTATGCAAGATCATCTATCCTGACCCAACAACAAATGGTTTGAAGCAAACAGAATAACCACATACTGTACTTTTTTTTTGTCTTTTTCCCCAGTGCAATCGCCTCTTGCATGAAAATTACCATTCAAGGATGGCAAAAAAACGCTGAAAAAGAAACCAACATTCAGTGCAAGAACTTATTTTTTTTCATTTTTCCACAAAAAATAAACTCACTCAAAATTGTAATGTTATTTAGGTCCTATGTTTCTCCTGCATATCATTCCAAATTCGCAAAAAAAAAAAAAAAAAAATATTAGGCTTAATCACATTGTCGCATATGGCAGTATTAGACCAAGTTTAAGTGCAATGAAGACATTTCTGCCATCTAGTGGCGATTGGTGATATTACAACTCGAGGATGTAAACATGTGTCTATGTAGTTGACAATGCTTTGATCAGCTGATACCACTAATAACAATTAATATTGCGGCACTTGCTTATGCTCACACACATTGTGAATCAAGTCAATTTTGTGGAGGAACTGAAACGTGTCCTGTTCTCCTTCATCTGCCAATTAGCCAATTTTCACAAAATTGAATGAACAAATCATGTAGGCTCATGATTTGTTCATCGTGCAAATTTGGCAGGGTTGTTAAATTTGCTAACAACTCTTTACTCTGTGGGAGGTCAAATTTAAAGCATGTTTATTTTAGCTTTAACTTTTTTAAAATTTCAAGTCTCGTGGTTGCCGTTCATGCGGTAGTTAGCAAATGATGGCGACGGTCCGCGTTGGACCTCCCATAAGAGCACAGGATTTTGGGATGCATACTGTCTTGCTGTGTCATTTTGTTAAAATAAACAAAAATATTCTCGTAGTTGATTTGAAGGTCATTACCGGAAGTCCAACTAGATGAGAAATAATGCCTGTGAGCTCCCGAGGTGCGTGTGGACAGTGGGTTTGCAGGGCGGGGGGTATTTCTTGGGTTAATGTTTTGCTCCCCCTCCTCCATTTGAAGCGAGCAGCCGGTCGTATGAATAACCTCACTGTTTTGGAACATGGGACACTGGCCAAAAGTACATATGCAGCGGCCCAACCTGAGAGGAGGTTGCCAGCATTAAATCAGTACTTTTAATACGTGGTTGTATTCGTGGGGACTTCTGAATTGCAGATAAGTCTACTTAAAGGAGTCATGACCTTGAATCACTGTCAAAAGGTGTATGGAATTTCCTGTAGTGACATCTCGGAACCCTCTCACTGTTCGATGCCTACCGTGTTGGTTCATAGAGTTCAGTCAACATTTTATGACTGAAAACTTTTCTTCAGCTCATCAGTTTGTGGTCAGGAAACTGTACAATGTTGTCATCTAAACAAAATGGCTTACATAAGAGCAACATTCCTCCGCGCTCCAATAATTTCCCTGTTATCTCTAAATCTTTTTTTGAGCCGTTGGCGTCCCCCGAGGATGAGTTCCATCAGTAGCAGCACTAGGAAACACCACACTGAAATACATGAAATCCAAATATATATTGTCTTTTAACATTTATTTTTGCGACACCGGCTGAAAAAGTGGACTAAATGCAAGTGTGTGTTTTTGAGTGGAGGCTGACGTGTCATGTGTGTTGGATGCAGTGGAAACAGAAGTTTCTTTGTGTGTGTGTGTGTCAGATGAGGACCAGGGGCGGGCTGGCCTGCATGGGCTGCCCTGTCACCAGGGAGTTTTTCTATAAAAAACACCCACTCACAAATAACCGCAGAACCACCCAGTGCAAGAGACACACACACAGTCCTGACTTTCTTGTTACGTTTTATTGATTGTCCACTTATAGCATTTGTGATCGATACAGCCACCCGACATTGAGGATTTGTGCTCAACTTTGTCCCATACTGTCTGCTGTTTTATCACATCACAGGATACATTATAGACTTAAGTGTAACAAGACAACGAGTAAGATGAAAACTATTATTTGTTTGTTTTAAAACCAGATAGATGTAGGAATTATTCCTAGCTGTAACTTGTGGTCAGGTTTCTATATGATCAATATATAACTCCACACTCCAAAAAAAAGACAGGTTATGTTGTCTGGTTGGCTTGCTCTCAAGCATTTTCATCTTCCATTTTTAATATTCTTCATTTTCGTTGCGCGTATGATGCAAGCGCACGTCCCCACCCACAGCCCAATCCACCCACCACACAGCCACTGGCAGTGAGTCCTCTGAAAGGAGGCAGCCTTTGATTTTTATCAGTGTTTCATTAACAGACTTCTCGGTCCCTGAGCCAAATCAAATAAGCAAAACGGGATATTTCTTTTTTGTCATGACACAGCATGCTAACTAGCTTCCTGTCCTAAATTGAATGCTTCCCCCCCTCGGAGTCTCTGTTGCTTCTGCCTCTTTTAATACGGATCAGCGCTTTCACGCTAGTTTTTGCCAGGACCTCGAATGAACACTATGTGTAAGTGCTAGTAACAGCAAACCCTTACTGAGCATTCAAAGGTCATTATATAAATTACCTTCTGCAGTAATTTGCTGTGGCAAACAGTTTCAATGTGTCTTCTTGCTACTTGTGCCATTTCTCAGGAGTCTGCGTTAAGTGCACCAAGGCCGTGTATGGAGCCAACCAGGCATGTCAGGCAATGGGTAGCCTCTACCATGACAACTGCTTCACCTGCAGTGCCTGCAGTAAGTACACACGCGCACACACACACACACATAACACGAAGTTTCTTTACCGTGACTTCAATTCAAACACACTGTCACCTTGTCTAAAGTGGGGTTGAGAATAGTTTATCCATCAAATACCTTTCGTAGCTTGCTCAATGTGGAAGCATGCTGTGAGGTACCCCCCAGGAAAAAAAAAGCATTTCGGCTGGGGAGGAATGCAGGCATGGGGCCCCTCAGGAGGCTGAGCTCCAGGAGCACACTGGGTGCTGTTATTTCAGCTGGACACAACAAGAGTACAGTGCGGAACCAGTGTGTAGACCATTCATTGGGACCGCGTACAGAGAAGTATGCATATGCATGCACAGCTACAATATATGGTGTGTATTCATGGATGTACCAACAGCAGTACAGATATGCAGTTAGGCAGTAAGAGTACTATACATACTCTACCTTAGACAAGACTTTTTGTTCAACATCCCATCATGATCCAAGACAACTTGCTGGTTTGTTACAAGTCTTGTCGATGAGCGCGGGCACCGCAGTTCGCGTCAAGATGACAGAGAATCAGAAAAACAAAACTGTTGGCAGTACCAGTGAACACGCAAGGGAGCACTCTCATCTCCCTTTTTGCTTTCATTATGTCATGTACACAGTACACAAAATACAGTATGTGGCCTGAGACTCAAGTGGAACTGTCCTCAATATGCCAACTCTGGGGCTTGATATGGACCCAGACCGGTTATATCGATTATTTTATAAAATTGTTCCAACAGTGGGCATTTATAGGTGTCTTATTCTAACTTGAAGATTGTTCTGTCAGCTCTTCTGGTCATTACAGAAGTAATTGCATGCACACATTAAATACAGTGTGTGGATTGTAAATTAAGTCATCTATTCAGAGCAGCTTCATGATTGAGCGCGTGCGTGCGTGCTGCGTGCGTGCGTGTGTGAGTGAGTGAGCGAGAGATAAGCAAAAGGTGAGGAAAGAAGTCCTGGGGGAAAAAAATCAGAGTAAACAGCACACACTTAAAGCTGTCTACTTCATAAGCATTAATTGTTGACGTTTGTAATTTTAAGAGCCAACTTTAATAATAATAAATAATTTAATAATAAATAAATTGGAAAAAACACACATTTTGTCGTCCTTGAAATTCCCGTGTGAAAATCAACAATAAATAGCATTGTAAGGCTGTACAATGGTCTTATTTAATTTTACTTGACACCGATTGGTAAATTGTACTGAATTATAACGCATGATATATGTTAAGTTGTTCTGGGCTCCAGCTTGAAGACATTTTCCTGCACTGGACCTTTTTAACTTTTCATTGCAGATCCCTGCTCTAGTGGGATGTGAAAATCATTCAAAAGCTGGTCACTAAATTGCTTTTATTTCTGAATAGGATTGCATAAGGGAATTTATAAAAGGCCTTAATGAGAAAACGTCCTTGCCTTTTGTTCTTTCAATCATCTCATTTACATTTTTATGGACATGCAGCTCAGTATGGTCCTTTTCCCGCAGTTAGCCCTACCTTCTGACTTTAATAAAGCTGTTATCCTTTTCGCAAAGCTCAGAGCATTCCTGCTCAGACTGACTGGGATAAAAAAATGCAGGAAAGAGAAGGAGAGGAACTACTCTACTACTTAAGCTATGTATGCAAAAGATTTGGAAGATGGGTATTATACCCTCAGCAAGTGAAAATGGAAGAAATTTGATCAAGGGTGAGGAAATGGCCTCCTCCATAGAATTGTCCAACAGGGGTGTGCAAAGACCTTTGGAGGAGCAGGTGTTCAAAATTGAAAGATGGCACATGGAACTTATCTGTTATATATATATTTTTTTATCTATTTCATGTCCAGAAATGATCATTTTGTGTCAGTGTTAACTCTGCAGTATACTGTGACCACAAATTAGAATAGAAACAAACAAACAAAAAAAAATCCCATGTCATGTCTGTGGTTATGTAAATGTTTATATCCCGGTAGGAAAATCCTGATGTGGAAAAAAAAAAGTGGTCCACATCAATTTCTTCATCCACAACATAGCATAGCTTCTCTGCCCTCAGTTATTTTGTGATCCCTTTTTTTTTTTTTTTTTTTTTTACAGCGTGAAGTGGGACACTTAACATATAAGCACATTCAGTACTACAGTAATAATAATAATAATAATAATAATAATAATAATAATAAAAAAATGTCAACAATACATTCATAACACATCTGATCTCGCCATTTTCAAACGGGGGGACATGCATTCCTTAAAGGGGAAGTCAAGTCAGAATTGTTTTTTCAGTAATAAGTTCGACGCCTCCCTGCTAGTCTAAACACAGTATTCTGTTTAATATGGTGTTAGTGGAATATGATTTATGCAGAATCTCAGGGAGCTACCATTTTGCCTACTGCCACTTGCTGTCAATTGAAAATGACATCACAAAGACTAAGGCAGGGCTAGGGAACTCCGGTTCCTCCTGAGCCATATCCTACCTGTTTTAGAGCTTTCCCGACTCCAACGCACCTCGTTCAATTGATCATGATCGTTTCAGGCTTCTACTGAGCTTGCTGATGAGCTGATCGTTTGAATCGGATGCGTTGGAGTAGGGAGTGATCTAAAACAGGCAGGATTTGGCTCTCGAGGAACCGGAGTTCCCTACCCCTGGACTAAGGGCTCAGGTAACGACCAGGAGCAGCTTGGAGATTTATGGACAAAATAGACAAAAAGGAATTTAATTGTTTTAATAATGTAAAAGTGTGTGTATCGGAGGTCAGTTAGAAGGGGAATATATTCGGGGTTGCAACTGCTTGATTGACTTGCCCTTTTATGTGTGGTGCTTCTGCATAGTTTAGGATGACCTGCCCTCCCGTCTCTCACCCACACACTTACTCAAAGCCTTCAAACATGATTGATTTCTAAAGTACTCTTGTCCTAACACTTTTTTGGGTGGCTGAGTTACATAACATTGTATTGTCAACCCCCTTTATTTGCAGGGCATAGGGATCGATCCGGCACGCGATTCGTGAAAATTTGCATCTAATTGTTGCCCATTGAAACGCATTCGGCAGTTTTCCTGATTTTTTTATTTATGCAAACCCCAAATATTCTTCAAAATCACAGAAAAAAATTCAATATATGCTTTCCAAAGAAAAAGGGAGGGAGGGGAATGGACTGAAGTAAAAATAATAGTATTAATAGTAAAAATAAACAAAACAATATTTTTTTTAAATATTGAATAGAAAAAAATAAAAGAAAATCTTCAAATCCACGGGTGCCAAACTGCAAGCGCAGGGTTCGACCCTACTGTCATAAGGCCACAGACAGACTTTCACAAACAAGCAGGGCCCTGTTGTCCAGATTGTCTTGGTAAGATGAAGAATAAAGATTCCGGGGTCGAGCCCAACTCTGATTGGCTGATAAAAAGTGCAAAATAAACACCCCCTCTCCTGTCGCTCCCCCACTCCCACACCTTCCATTGCCAAAAAATGTAAAGAATGTTCCCCCTTCCTGTGGGACTTGCACAGGAGTAGCCATCTGAAGGCAGCGTGCATGCTTTGCTGTTTGTGAGTCAGATTCAGCCTGCAGAAGTACTGAGGGAGCTTGAAAGAAAGTACTGTACAACCAGCATATAGAGAGACGACAAGAAGTACACCAGGTCATTTTGGGTTTTGATCTGTTGATGCATTGCATTCCAGAGGAAGAGATTGTTTTCTCCGCGCACCTGTCCAGTAATTTGATTTGGTGATTTTCTCCCCACATGTTGGACCCAGATGTGTTTTTTGTCTGCCTGCAACTTGCTCTGTGCCCCAACTACAGTATGTGGTACATGATCAAAGACGTGTAAATGTACATGGATTTGACTTTTTGCAGGTCGAAGGCTCAGAGGAAAGGCTTTCTACTATGTTGGTGGAAGGGTTTTCTGTGAAGAGGACTTTCTGGTGAGTTCGATGTACACTCAGCTGCACCTCCGCCAAGCAAAAGTATTGTTTTCACAGCAGTTGGTCAATCTACTGACTGCCCCTGTAGATAGTGGTACAGTATATCTTTACTGGACAGGACTTTTTACTTTTGCAGCACTTGAAATCAAAATGTACAGTATTATTCTCATCCTCTTGAAGCAATAATAATATTGAACTGAATCATACAACATGAGCTTCATTCATTTTCGGCCATGCAGATTGATAAATGATGAGACGCACATCAAACAATCTTTTCAAAGTTGCCAGCCTAATATATCAGTCCCACTTTAAAATTAGACTTTGGAGAGGTTGGGAGGAGGTCAGGAACTTGAGAAGCTGGTAAACCTTACTGGGTGTTAGGGCGGTTGTATGTATTGACACCAGTCTAGTAAAACTGATGGAGAAATTGCCCATGCATGTACTGATTTGATTGTTAGCTAATACAGTTTAAATCCACAGAGATAATTACTGGTATTTAACTAGAATGAAAAATAGTGTTTTGGCTTTTTTTTTTTTTTTTGCAAATTTTCCAGAATTCTTATTGGCTACTCAAACTATAGCTCCAAATGTGTCTCATCTCATCAGCACTCCATCACAAGTTTGAATATTTGTAACGTTCTTCTCACTCTTGCCAATTTGATAAATATTATTCAATTATATCTGGTTTTCTTTCAAGTAAGTCAAGTCCAAGAAACCACGCCACACTGACTGTGAAAGTGTTTTTTTTTCCTCACCGGAATGAAAGCTGTTCCGTGCAGACGTTATAAAATAACCGCACTCACTATTTTTTCTCTTTGTCTTGAAAACCCTGACTGTCTTGTCTTTTTGTAAAGTACTCAGGTTTCCAGCAGTCAGCTGACAAGTGCAATGCATGTGGTCACCTTATCATGGACATGGTAAGTGTTTGTGGTGTTTCTCAACCTTCATCAAGCCGAGGCACTCATTTTACATGAGAAAAATCTCACGCTCCACCACCAAACAAATAATGTCAAAAAGTATGAATGCAGAATTACTCACTCAGTGTGAAATCTGGGCCTGGTGGCTAAGCATTTCAATTGTACTTTTTCTCATTTATTTGACAAATTAAATGGAATTTCATATTGTCCTCATGCGCCCCTGATTTTCTCTCATGATACACTTGTATTCTTTGGCACCTTGGTTCTTTGGCATCTGTATGGTGCTGGAAATGGTGCAATCAAATAGAAATATCAATGTGCTACATCCTGGGCTAATTTTGTTTCTGTACTATTTTTTTCCCCTCCAGATCCTGCAGGCTCTCGGGAGGTCGTACCACCCGGGCTGCTTCCGCTGCGTTATCTGTAATGAGAGCCTCGACGGCGTGCCCTTTACTGTGGACACAGAAAATAAGATCTACTGTGTTGAAGACTACCACAGGTGGGTATCACTCTTTCAGCTAACAGTATCGACCTGGCATCAATTTTGATGTCTGCGTGGAAAAAAAACAAGGTTTAAGGCTATGCAAAAGGTGATCTCAAGCACCTGCAGAGAAGAGATGACTTCAGCATTTAATTTCCATTCTCCTGTATTTCCGGCAAAATGCATCAACTGTTGTCTGTTCCTGATTTAACATTTTGCCTGCCTCATGCTGTCATGATGTAATAACCACCCTCACTCGTTCCAGAAGCCAAGCCTGCTATATTCAGTTGCAAAGCACAGCTATCCCCAAAGTGCTACATTATAATTATAGAAAAATGACTCTTAGATGTGGTCAAAATGACTCAATGTAATTATTCCATGATTCCCAGGTGGGGGTTTTTGGGCTTTGAAACCAGCGGATTATAGGTAGAAATCTTCCTGGAGAAAATAAAATTTAGGTGACTGTCGAATCCGAAATCATGCTCTGGAGTCATTCTCACGCTAACAGTATATTGTTCAGCTGTACAAATTACTCATGAAGCCAGCCAAAAGCTGGCTACCACAACCCCGACAGCTGTTGGCAGGCTGCTTGCGACAACATGTACGCAGCTAAGCAGAGTCTGACAGGCCTAAGTGTTCTCGCCACGGTCTGAGTGCACAGTTGACCCCTGGTCGATAGTCGAGCCTGCGCACACCAAGACATTGTTTGTTTTAACTCCCCGCTTCTCGCCATGTGCTCACGTATAAACATTTTTTTTTTTTTATCTGATCATTCTTTCTGGATCACGTTTGTCAGCGAGCCATGACATCTGCAGAACTGGCATCTGCTCAGTCAGATCAAGATTCTGAATCTAATCTGACCGAAGAGGCAAAAGACTGTGGCTCAACTTGAAAGGCTGGGAGAGACATCAAGCGTGGAATGAACGCTCTGTAGTTAGATGAGCTCAGTTTAGCACTGTAATACAAGTTAAAGCAAATCTATTTAAGGTTTTTTTCTTGATTCCATTTTCCAGGGTCCTGGCTCCCAAATGTGCCTCTTGTAAACAGCCCATTCTTCCATCTGAGGTAAACATGTCTTACTACGAGCTTTTAGCTCATGTCCTTTATTGTGGTTGGGTGACTTGTTAAAGACTTCAGTCACATGCAGAGGTGGCAAAGGTACTCACGCTCTTGATTTAAGTAGATTAAGTAGATATTCTTGTCACATATGTCCTGGCATGAATAAATGAACATATACGTTTATGTTTAAGTCAGTTATGCACAGTGAAACCAGATGCACAATTTGCATTTATCCCCCCTCCCCGAAAATGATCACCAAACGGACTTATAAGACCCCGAGTCTCAAGCAATCATGATATCACCAGTGATTGACCTTATCTTTCTCTCTTTTTTTAACTAGTCGATTTTGACAAATGTTCACAGTAGAAAGTACAGATATCTGTTTTCAAATGTAATGAGTAAAACTAAAATTGTCAAAATAAAGACTCTGGTAAAGTTCAAATATCTGAAGAGTCTACTCAAGTACAGTTACTTTTTGTGATTCATTGTTTCACGAGAAATTATAGATATTAAAATAATTACATGTGAGAACATGTCCAAAAATTGTGGCATGCTTTCACGGGTTAGCTAAAATGACGAGTATGGTCGAATTTGACCCACGGGCCAATGATTGATTATTGATATTGGAGATTGGCGTTTGACTGAAGTTCCTCTATTGACTTGACTTGACTATTCAATCAGTTCAGTGATGAATTGTAATGTCCTTAGTGCACGTTAATTGCCTAAATATGTATTTTCTAATTTCAGCATGAGAAGAAAGGAAGCGTAACAAGACATGTTTGCAAAAGCAACACAATGTCCCAAATTGGCACCGGACTTTGCTGGAATCAAATTTCAAGAGCTATTTCTCAAAACAAAAAAGAAAAAAAAAACGACTTTTGGAGCAACTTGGCGTGAATGTTGTTGGCTCAAAAGTACAATAAACACCAGTTTGAGCTCCGAGGTCATACAGTGAGGCTGAGGTGTCCTCTGAGTCGATGGGCTTCATTTGTGTCAATGTCTCAGCAGGGCTCTGATGAGACCGTCCGTGTCGTTTCCATGGACAAAGACTATCATGTGGAATGCTATCACTGTGAGGTGGGTAATAACACTCTGCCAAGACTGCAATGTGGATTCTCTGCTAACACAAAAACACTGATAGGGGCTTCATGCCAGGCCCTCTAAATCAGTGGTCCCCAACCTTTTTGTGGACCGGACCAGTTGAGACAATTACATCCTCTTCACGGACCAGCGACCATGTTTTAAAATTGCCAGTTTTAAAGCACTGACACTGACAACAAAAATAATTAAGCGTAATTAAACATCTTATTCACATAGATTTTTTTTTCCCATTAATTTCAAAGTCTTATTTTACTGTCCAACACATGTAGAATAAAATAAAATAACACAGAGAATCACTATGAAATGGACCAATCAGGAATGATAAATATGTCAATCAATGTTCGAAAGGGGGCACCTATTGGCTAGTGTCACACACATTTCTGCCACCTCTGATGGGCCAAGGCCCGGTGCCGGTCCACGGACCGGTGGTTGGGGACCCCTGCTCTAAATGGGCTCATGATTAGACATCATAATGATCCCTGATCTTAATTACAGCCGTGACAATAATTATATACCACTGAGTCGAGCCAAGCTCTGATGCATTATCTCATCATGACTCTCGTCGTTTTACTTGATTTCTGCGCGAAATGTGATTTAGTCTTGCTTCTATTCATCTTCCTTCATGAGTAAATATGCAACCTTTGTAGAAGAAATGATGATGCTTCTTGGGGATATGCCTCATCGTTGAGGGCCGTTTGTTCCTTTCAGGACTGTAAGATGGAGCTGAATGATGAAGAGGGTCACCGCTGCTACCCTCTGAATGGCCACCTTCTCTGCCACTCCTGCCACTTGAAGCACATTGAGCCAGGCAGCTCCTCTTCTTTGGCCAGCAGCGCCTCCTATTAACGCCAGTATGGGTGGAGGGGGACACCTGGTGGACATTTTGGGGGAGAACTCTCACATTGGAGCGTGATCGCAATTCTTGTTGTCGAGGATTTGTTGGAAGTTTCACTTAATGGATTGATGAAACCTTATGAATCAACGCTATTATAATGAAGGAAAACAATACGTACTCCAGCGCGTTATTTGAATACAGTAAAGTTTGGTGCTATACCTGACACATTGCAAAATGCCTCAAGCTTCACTTTCAAACGTCTGCTTTGGCTTCACACTTCTACGCTAACATTTAATACATCCTGGTTTAAATATCACTGATGAAACAAGAAATATGCCTGTCTTCTCTTTTACTGTATAATGCTGGTTCAATTGAAAATGTGCAGGCAACACGGTAGCCTCGTAGTTTGCATGTCTACCTCACAGGCTAAAGCAGGGGTGTCCAAACTCGGTCCTCAAGGGCCGCTGTCCTGCCTGTTTTCCAGCTCTTCCAGGAGCAACACACCTGATTTTTGAATAATCAGGATCTTTCTAATGCTGCTTCAGAGCTGGCTGAGGAGCTGATCATCTGAATCAGGTCTGTTGCAGCCGGGAGAGCTGCAAAACAGGCAGGACCCTTCAGGCCCAGAGCTGGACATGCCTGGCCCAAAGGTTCAGGGTCAGGTCCTTCTCTGCACCACTGCATGTTCTCCCCAAGCTTGTGTGGATTTTTCCAAAGTACTCCGGCTTTCTTGCAAAAAAGGCTAATTGAAGACTAATCAATCCATTTGTGTGAATGTGAGCATGAGTGGGGTTTTTTTCTATTTTTTTTTTTTAATGTTCTCTCACAATTGGCTGGCAACCTGTCCAAGATGTACCCCACCTAGTACCAGCTAAAAAATTACTTATCTGTCCGAGTGCTATCATCATGACCAATACTAAAACACAGTCGCAAAGTAGGCATCAGTGTTTGTCAAAAACAAGACATGCTTTATTCCTAAACTGTCTACAGTATTCGAACATTATTCACGGTTTAAACATTAATACTACTCTTAAATATAGGAAAATTATTTACGTGATCCATCCATCCATCCATCCATTTTTTAATCCGCTTATCCTCACAAGGGTCACCGGCATGCTGGAGCCTATCACATCTGTCTTTGGGCAGTAGGCAGGGAACAAATGGTTGCCAGCCAATCGCAGGGTACAAATAGACGAACAACCATCGGTGCTCACACTCACACCCAGGGACAATTTCGAGTGTTCCATTAACCAGCCATGCATGTTTTTGGAATGTGAGAGGAAACCAGAGTATACTTACTTTATGATTCAATTAAAATTTATTGCACATAAAATTGAAATAAAAGTATACCTGAATGTTCCAAGTTCAATGAATAACTCTAAATTGCCCATAGGTTTGATTGCGAGTGTAAATGGTTCCCAACAAGTGACTGACTGTCAGGCAATGGTTTACCCCCCCTGCGGGATATGCTCCAGCACACCTGGACCACGCAGTGCTATCGAAAATGATTAGTTCTAGCCACAAACCTGTGGGTTATTTTCAGGTTTTCCCATTGCTTGGGATGTCTCTGGGTAGGTACTCCAGCTTCCCCACGCGTTAGTGCAATTGGAAAACCATTAATTGCTCCCAAATGTGAGTGTTTGTCTGTTTCTTTGTGTCAATCCTGTGATTGATTTGTGGTCAGTCCGGTTTGTACATCATCAAGGTTTGACATTAGCATTTGTCAAGAACATCTTCCCAGTGCATCTGTTTGGGGATAGAGTGCATGAAAATGTTGAAGTTAAGGGCAAAATGTAGAAGTTATTGTCTTCCATATGCAATATTTTATCATGAAACAAACATGCAGGAAAATTTTTCCTGCAGGTGCAGTGAGGCAAAGTCTCTTTGACTCGTACAAAAGAAAGATGAACTCTGTTTTGTATCATGTAAGCAAGAATGCAGATGATAGCTTTAGCTTAGTAGAATCGTTTCTGTCACATGCACTCGGGAAAGCACTTAGAATGCAGTATGTTTTCTTGGCACCTATGAAGGTTGAAATTTCTAATATGCAATGAATTGTTTATTTTCAAGGACATGTTTTTTGGGGGGGGCCTATATGAATTTACTCCAGTGCCCTATTAATCATATATTGCACAAAAACCTTGTTAATATTGATTGGTTTGCAGTGTAACATAATTGTGAGGTTGCCTGATTTGCCATTTGTTGTAATTTTAGGCCCTTATTTCAAAGATAATTGGAGTGTAAGATAAAAAAGCATTATGTTCATTTGTTGAGTGATTATATTTAATAAATTGTGCTGTAGGTTAAACAAATGTGTACATTGTTTTATATATATATATATATAAAACATTTTCTCAGGATAAACAGAACTCGAACCACAAGTAAGGTAGGAGTCAAACCTTGGATCATTTGGTCTGAGTTGTGTAATTTAGCAAGCACGTGCACACATCAACGAAAATGTATCGTACATACATCCAGTGCACTACTAATCAGATTACTTCTTTTTATTTATTCATTTATTTATTTTATATTTCTACATCTACATTACCTGAGTGTATGATTTTCCGACAATATCACTTTCTACTCTTTTCTTTATCAAAATAGGCCCATTACTTTTTTCAACCTCTGCTAATGACGAGGTGACATCAAAAAGTCGTAAATAAAAAAATAGCACCGTTATATATGTATGTGTGTATTATGCACACGCACACACACACAGAGGAATGCGTGTATATGTTTTATTTTAGTATGTGCAGCAATTCACCTGCTTGTCCATACTCTAATCTGCAAAAACACATTGCCGTATGCACCCCACCCTACACTTGATTAATTTCGAGTCTGTGATGAGGTGACATTTGCAAAGCTTTGTGAACGTAGCAAAAGAGGAATGCTATATTGTTTGCAGGGAAGGTTTCTTCTTGGTTTTGGAGTTACCTTTGTAACCATAATTGTGCTGCTATTTGTACTCCTATTTTACCAGTCTTTTTACGCAAGTACCCGGATTTCTACTTAAATATGAGTACTTTTGCTACCTCTGACAGTACACGCAACCACCCGTAGTTAAATTCCGGAATAGAACAAAACGTAAATCGAGCGTATCCACGCGCTGGCGTACTACCTCCCTCTTGGTCATTAACCTCGTGACGTCATGTTGTCCCGCCCCTTGCGGGGAATGTGTTTCGGAAGGCAAGCTTGCAGGCGTCCTGTGTGTTTACGCTTGCCTTGTGTCAGTTTGGACAGTGCTTGAGGCGAGCTGCATACACAACGCTGCATGTACACATTGTACATTGAGGGAGGGGTTGACAGGGCGAGACAAGGACGGAAGAGGCCTTGCAGGGTGGCGTGCACGGAGCCATGAATGAACGCGTGCACACGTTTGGAGGTTTTCGAGGAAATGTTTGCAGTTGATGGAGCCTCCTGCACGCCGTGTTAGTCTCTTTACCGTCTCATATTGTGTCTCACACTTCCTGGGATGGAGTAACGTCGCGCACGCCGCACGCCGATTTTTTTTTTTAATATAAACGAAGGATCGGTGATCAACTAACATCGCTCTCCATGGTTTTCGAAAGGTGAGTGAATCATGCAAATGTTGCCCGATAAACCGATGGTATCATCACCCCATTGTTAATCTGCACCGCACTGTTAATGCGAAATGCAGCGCTGATGTTCTCGTCCGTTTTGGCAGAGAGATGGATGCCATCGCCAACAGCATGCAGAAGAAGGCTGCGGAGCTGGAGCGGCTGGCAGAGGTGCTCGTCACCGGGGAGCAGCTCAGGTCGGTCGGGCATGCTGTTCAAACCAGTTACCCGTTCTTAAAAATGTATCATAATCAAATGCAGGGCCAATTATGCAACATGATGGACCCATTTTGGATTTACCACAGGCAGCACAAGAATTTTCTTCTTCACTTTTACTCCCTACATTTGAAAACAGATATCTGTCGGCTACTGCACTTTTTACACACCTTATTAACTCAAAATAGGCTCGTTACTTTTTTTTTTTATCCTCACCTTACCCTTACATTTAAAAACATTTCAGCGTGCACTTTTTACTTTCACTTAAGACAACTTTAATCCATACTTCTACATTTTTCCAGTCTTTCTTCACTCAAGTACTTGTAACTCGATTTCTGTAGATTATGAGTACTTTTGCGACCTATGATAATTTATTTTTTAGTTTCAATGCGTACTTTTATTGTATATGCTGTATTATGTGTCAACAGTTTGATTCACTCTACATTATTGTGCATATTATAATTCAATCTGCAAGTAATGATTATTTTGAAACCCACTTCATCCGTTGATGGTTATATTTCCAAATTAATCAATGAATCTGATTTGTTTTCTTAAGCTGTTTTAAATGTTGTTAAAATCTGGTGCATTATTTCAAATTGACAGTGCCGAAAATGCACAAAACATAACTTGATTATGATTCAGTCAGCTGAAATTCTGAAGATTTGGACCATTTTATGTGAAACAAGATGTGTAAATGATTATTCAATGATCAAAAAAAGTTGTTGATTAATTTTAGAATCGATCAGTTGTCAATTAATTGATCAATTGTTGTACCTCTAAATTGCTTGTTTCACCTGTCTGCATCTTTAATTTCCTAAAAAGAAGACAAACTACTGTTTCACTTTCCTAAAAAGAAAATATTAAGATGTTGCTGTAAGATTTTAATTCGGTGTTACCCAACATTTATAAAGGCAAGGTGCAAATTTTCCATTATAAAAATATCACTGCCAAACAAAATTGTTCTGCGTGTCCCAATATATTCCTGACCAAGATAGGTGATCAAAGTTTATAGTTTTTTAGACTCTGGAACTAAAATTGGATAAATTCCCTCAGCTCTCTCATGGCACGCTAATGTGCCATATGGCACATGGTTGACTGCCTTCTGTTCTGAATGGAAACCAAATCAAGGCCTTTAAATCAAAATACTGATCCGTGATTTTATTTGCCGTACTGTTCCGCCCCTACCGATCAAAGATATATGTGGCTTCACCAGCAAAAAACAAAAAAAATGCTTCTTTGTATTTTGGACTCCACATGCACTCCCCAGCCCTTCACTGGCCAGAAATCTAATGATCCTGTTTGCTCTTATGTCTACGTACTCCGAGGGCGAACCTACTAACCTCATAATGTCATATCAGGGACTGGCATTGCTTTGTAGTGTTGACATGCGCTGCCCTTTGACCCTCTCAGTGTTAAATAAGGACCCTCATCACCACGTGTGGTCTATGAATCCAACATTAAATATTGTCTCAAAGTGCAAAGCATGGCACCAATGCCTGGAATTTCATCCCACCTCCCGCCTTCCCCATTGAAATACAACCAAATAGTTCTCCCAATTTAGTTTATTTACTATGACACTGCTAACATTCATTGCCACGCGAGAGTAATGGCTTGTGTCAGCACAAAGTTTCCAGTGTGCTGTCACTGAGCACCAGTGTGTATCTTTGTATGCTGTGTGTGTCAGTGTCTGTGGCCCAGCTAGCCATGTGACTGGGGTCAGTGAGCGGTGGGTTGGCTTGTAGATCATCCACATTCTGCTGTTCTGAAGTGAAAAGTGACCAACTTGCGATCCAAAAGATTCCTGCTTTGTGTAGTAGTGATATTGTTGCAGCATGTTTCTGAGTACTCAAAGATGCTTATCAGCGATTTTGGGAGGGATTCGAACAGGAGCGAAGGTGATGGAGAAGTAGGACAATGTGGTCTATGGAACGATGTGCAGTTTTGTATGCATATTTAATTGAGAATGTGATAAAAGTGTGGAAAAGGGTTTCTGCAATTAGCACCTCTGCCTTTCAGTCAAGTACTATCAGGTCTGAATCTTGGCTCAGGCCCTCCCGACTTCAGTGTTTCTTTTTTGGCGCCATTTTTACCTGCTGTGTGAATTTTGTATCTTCTCCTCGTGCTCACATGGTGTTTTTCATGGTATGAAAACCAGGGGAGCAAGAACAAAGCCCTGGGGCACGCCATGGGAGGCAAAAGGGAGTTGGACTATTCATGAGGAGGTTATTTCAGTGATATAATGTGATGGTAATGGATGTGCGGATTGCAACAGATGTTCCTGAGATGGCAGCACGGTCGTGTGGTTGTAAGCACGCTGCACACACAGTCAAGGGGTCTTAGCTCCGGGATTTTCCTCACACATTATGAAAACATCCACATTAGGTTTTTGAAGACTCTTAATTATCTATAGGTCTCTATTTTTGTGATCTGCAATTGTCAGAAAACTAGTCCTGGGTGTTAGCTACCTTTCAATCTATTTCACATGGGATAGGCTGCACCTAGGGTCTGAAATGAAGTGCTTTTAAAAATGGATGCACAGATTGTGACCAGTGAACCATAATATACAGTACAGGAGTGGGGTTTCATGGCACCGCAGCAATTTAGAGGCTGTGGAGTATATTACAAAGTAGCTTGGCGTCCAGAACTAAGGGAAAGAAATAATTTAGTAGAAAGGGGAGTCGTACACGTCAGGCCTTTTCACAATGAAAATGCACATTTTGTACCTTGCCTGACTTAACCAAACTGCACGGCCAAGTGTAAACTGTACTTTTGTGTCTTATCGTAGCATGAAAAAGCATGCAGTGTAATGATTGACACACTCCTTTGTTGACCTCCACTCCCTGCTTTGGCTTTCTGTCGTCTAACCTAGTCGAGAACTAGAGCATGTAATAGGCAAGAAGTTACAGTACTCCTTTTCTGTGTCTCCTGGCCAAGGTTATTATAGTTAACAGAAACTATTGACTTAACTAAAATCAAAATTGAAAAAAAACCAATTTTCTTTGACAAATATAATGAAATAAAACAAAATATGTTTGAAAAAGAAAACTAACAGAAACTACATTTTACATTGCAAAACTAATGCACACGAACTATAATTTGTAAATACAGTGAGAATGTCCTTTGTTTTTGTCTTAGTCAATTACCGTAATTGAATGCACTAGCCTTAGCGGTCTGTTTTTACATGGATGTACTTCAGTATTAGGGCAGAAGGAAGGTCAAACAGACGTCTGACAGTTGTGATCCTTTTACTGTGTGTCGTCTAGAAACAACGTCATTTAGCGGCAACCAATAACAAAGATGACATCACTCCGATAGGCGACGAGCTTGCATGTGTTTGACTCTCTTCCTTTTTGTCCCTTAACTCAGCCTGATACTTGACTAGGTAATAATTGCTCTCCTTTTTTGGTTGTACACTTTACAACCAGGTGTAAGTTTCTTGAAGTTTATCTTGTCTTGTCTTGCCCATCCAAACCTGTGACTTTAACACTCCAAATTTTTCATATTTCATGAAACAATATGTAAACATGTGGACTGCACTGCTTATGTACTGAACTTATCCAGACATGATATGAATATTTAAATAAAATATAAATACATGCAGGGTGTCCCGGTGGTCCAGTGGTTAGCGCGTCGACCTCACAGTGCAGAGGTCATGGGTTCGAGCCGGCTCCGGCCTTCCTGTGTGAAGTTTGCATGTTCTCCCCGGGCCTGCGTGGGTTTTCGCCGGGTCCTCTGGTTTCCGCCCACATTCCAAAAACATGCTTGGCAGGCTGATTGAACACTTCAAATTGTCCCTAGGTGTTATTGTGAGCGCGAATGGTCTGTGTGCCTTGCAATTGGCTGGCAACCAGTTCAGGGTGTCCCCTGCCTACTGCACGAAGACGGCTGGAATAGGCTCCAGCATTCCCTGCGACCCTTGTGAGGAGAAGCCAATCAGAAAATGGATGGATGGATAAATACATACACAAATTAAAGCCTACTAACTATCTGAAGTGAAGCCCCCCCCACCCCCGAAATTGCAGTATGTGTAAGTTTTAAATTTTGGATTCGGCCCAAGGGGCTGCTTAAAGCCGATGGCTTCCATATACTGGACATTAGCTTGGTGGGAGGCCACTATCCGGCGTTTGCCAGTGCTCTTATGTTACTTATGTAATGTTATTACTCAGCAACGGCAGGAAGTATCGAGGTTTCCTGAGTGTATGACACACCCCGTGGGCAAAGAGTCCACCATCTCCCCGTGGTAATCGATGGTGTCCTGTTGGGTGTGTGAACGCTCTGTCTGGAGAAGCACTGGCATAAGAAGCTCTTGGTGTACTCTTCAAAACCGCACTGTCTAAATGCAGCATTTCTCAGCTTCTGCGATGGAAAAGTGCTCTGCAGTCTTGCGAGACCGCATTTACTGTACATTTGATTTTCCTTTGAACGTCCTGACCTCACTTCATCTCTCTCCGGATGATTTAGCATTGAATTAAATGGCAAAGGAAAGATGATGCCACAGTGGCTGGAAGTCTTTCGGTGCCAGATTATTTGCTCATCTGCACTCTAGGCTGACGAGAACGTGTGTTCCTCTCGCTCGGCAGACTTGGACTGTGATTATGAATTCTGCATGATGTTAGCCAGATGCACATAGACTCAGCTTGGAGGGAAAGTCGAATCCTTGGCTGAGATTTTGGTCCGTTCACTGACATTACTCAAGTTCAGCAAAAGGTGATCTAGACCAGGTGAAACCAGAAGGGAGCAAAGAGCTGTACAGGAATAATACCTCAGTCCGGTAAAGTTTATTCGTCTGCGCAATATCTGGTGGATGGGCCACATCAAGTATTCCACAAAAAAAGGGGTTTCCAAGTATTCAAAAAAGTACAACTGATCATATCTCAATCTTGCATAAGTGTTCAGAATACAGTATTTGTGGTTCTTCCAAACATGTTGCCTGAAGCTGTCATGAGCCTCAGCTATGGTAGCCCAGAAGTATTTTTAGAAATGAAACAAACAAAAGCACACAAAACACTCCGGACAAGGACATGGTGAAAAAGGCAGGGTTGCAAAATATCATCCTGCGGGCAGCAAATAGCCCAGAGGCCGTATGTTTCATCCCGAGAAAAACTGTGGTGGTAGGGCGAAGGGTTAACTGGATTCATAATAGCTCGGTCAGATCACATTAATTGAATTGAATTGAATACAACTTTATTGTCAAATGTGCCGTACTTATGTGTAACACACAGCACAGATGAAATTTCTTCCCTCTCAACATAAAACAAGAGGAGCCGCTGCGGGTGTTAACAAAAACTGACAAAATAATACAAGACAACACATGAGACACAGACAATCGTGCAATCTTAACCACTTTCCTGCATACACTTTGTTGTCTGAAGCAGTTATAGATGAAAGAAGAGCGAATCAAAGACGTCAGGCTGCAATGTGCACACGTCTACTACAAGCTAAGCTTGAAAGCAACAAGAAGCTGTAGCATCCATTAACAAAAAAGAGAGATTGGCTCTCTTCTCCTGTCCCATGTAAATCCGCTTCAATTCCAAGCCGCGACTCCCAGTTCCACATACGCATCGGCGCTCTGCGCTGACGCTCCTTTCTTCTCATCGTCGGCTCCTCAATCCCTGCATCCATCCAGCCGCAGACTGTCCATCAGCACCGACCTTTTCGCTGAACAAAGCGGGGCTGTGAAAATGCTGCTTACTTCAGGCGCAAGACACAAGCACCCTGGGGATGTCCAGCAACGACAGACAATAAAGTTGTATCAAATCCAATCCAAAAATCAATTTGCGCCGACATTCCTCCCAATCAAAAAAATCAGTGCTGGTACGCGTGTTCTGCCGAGAAGGCGCAACCACCAAGCACAGATTCTTCTTCTTTGACGAATGTTGTGGTCAAAAATGAATAAATCTTGTATGGTGGCAACAGTTCTGACATACTCACCATGGAAAATAAAAAGTACCTATTTTTTCAATTCTGAGAAAATGATGACATCTTTTCTCATTTACTCAATGTACTTCAACAGGCTGAACTTCATCCACAAGCATGCCCAGTGGCAGACATTGTGAGCAATGAACACGCGGACTGTATCTCCACAAATAGAGTCCTTCTCTCTCTCATAGATTTTCCCATCTGAGGAAAAAGTATTGTCAGTCAGTTAATTGCCGCTGTTGTTCACCCCATTCATTGGAGCATCAACTGCTGGGCCCATTTGAACATTTAGCATCATTAATCAAAACAGCAGCATGTAACGACACATTTTAAGACTCTCTCACTTTGCACTTGAGCTCATGATACAGAGTTGAATGACCTCCTTTTATTAGAAAGTAGCAGGAACTTGAGCATGGTTAACAGCTACCAATGCACCTTCCCACACCATATAAGTGAGCGAGTGTCATTTGAAAAAACGGAACCACTTGGTTCTTGCTCTTTTTTTGTTGCTCCGGTGTTGCAAAATAATGAAGAAGAATGTGAATTGAGGCCATCTGTCTGACTGCAGTGTAAGAGTGCCCTTAAATTTGAATGTGTTGCCGTCCCTTTTAGTTTGGAACACTTTAGCGGAGTGTGTTAAAAAGACCGGCTGAATAATACAAACGACTGATTAGAAACGACAATCGTTTTACAAAAGCTCATCTTGTCTTCCAGGTTGCGGCTCCACGAAGGGAAGGTCATTAAGGACCGACGGCATCACTTGCGAACGTACCCCAACTGCTTTGTGGGCAAAGAGCTCATTGATTGGCTGATTGAACACAAGGAGGCCTCCGAGCGTGAGACAGCCATCAAGATCATGCAGAAGCTTCTGGACCAAAGCATCATCCACCACGGTGAGGCCGCACTGCTTGCAAATTGAGGCGTGCTTTCATTGTGGGCAGATCAGCTGACTTAGTAGTTAGCATGTCTCTCTCGTAGTCACTGCGGAGCTTTTATCTGGAATTTCCATAGTGCTCTCCCTAACGTAAAAAACATTTCTGGATGTCATGTTGTTTCTCTCCGGCTGTCGTCTTCTTGTGCTGTTTTTTTTCTTTCTTGACATTTTCTGGGAACCGTCATTGCCCCCCCCCCCCCATGATTCTTCATGCTCCTGAGACAATTTGGCTCCAACTCACTCCCTTGATTCATTTGAACACGCAGGCAGAAGAGAGGCAGAGCGACTTGGTTGGAACTCGTTCGACTGTACTTTTGCAAACGAAAACTCCCCAAAACAGAATAAGACCTCTTGCCTATAACATTTAAATATCCACTCCTTTACTCTCCTTGTTTTTTTTTTCCACTTCACATTACAGTCTGCAATAAGCATTCCACACTACAAAACTTAACAGTCAGAACGAGCCACTCAACAACAATAGTGAAGAACCACAAGAGTCTTTTAGGTGCGCTTCTCTACATGTGGCTGTTGATCACAGTTTGGAGACACATTTAACTCCAGAGAGAGACAGACAACCATCCCCGCTCACATTCACGCCTGTGCCCAATTTATAATTGAGTTTTCTATTAACCCAGCATGCACCTTTTTGGGGAATGTGGAAAGGAGCCAGCGTGCCAGGAGAAAATCCGAACAAGCTCGAGTTCACACAACCCAGAAATCTGCTAGCCTCTTTTTTTTGCATCACCGCGTTGTGTTTTCTAGTGCCGTGCCCTCAAATGTGATCAGAGAGCAACCGGCTGTACAGTACTGAATATCTCCCATATGGGATCGTCTCCGTTTGGTACAGTTTTGTATCCGACTTCAAGTGGCACAAGAAGGCCTGTTTAGTTAGCTCGGTACTTGTGTTTTGGAGTGTTTTACATGCGAAGCACTCTAGGTCAGCGTTCCCAGAAAGGAATGTGTTCTGCCGCTGTAGTTTCTACTGTGTTTGCCCTAACAAATTGTTTCCATTTTGAAGTCAGCGTTGAAACGTCACCTTGTGCCGTTTGTGCGTTTGCAGTGTGCGACGAGCACCGGGAGTTCAAAGACATGAAGTTGTTCTACCGCTTCCGTAAGGACGATGGGACCTTTCCACTAGATAACGAAGCCAAAGTCTTCATGAGAGGGCAGAGGATCTATGAGAAGTATGGCGCTAAAACACATACGGCGCTTTCTGACTTTTTCCACACTCTAATATTTGAAACATGATTTCCCAAACCGCAATTTTATTGACACTGTATTGAGCTCAATTATTTTAAAAGCTTTCCAGGCGGTGGTGGAACATGCAGTTATTGAAGTTCAATTAAGAGTATTTGTCCAAACAAGGCAGGGAAGAACGAAACTAATGGAACTGTTTTGATTGTCTTCAGCTTTTTGCCCATGATGTTGATTTGTACACGAGATGGTCTGCAGGTCTTTCGATTTCGCTGCTGTTGTATCAACTCCGTCTTAAAACACACTCCCACACCCCAACCGGCGCCTCGCCTTCTTCTATATCTGTCTTAACACTCGCTCCGCTCTCACCAAAATCCCTGTTTTCCTGTTTCTAGACAACACACAAACAAATGCACACACGCCAGTTGCGTAAGAGTCCAAACACAGACATCTGTCGTCTCCGCCTTCAAAGCTTTATGCAATCAAGCGCAGTGGAGCCCAGGATGCACAAACATTGACAGACGCGCTCTAACCTTGGTCGGATTATCTGTGCCATCTTCGTTTTCGACCTTGTGAACCCAATTTGATATCAGGAGCAAAACCGTGTAGTGGACAAAACAGTCACTGCAATTTCCCTTTGGGGATTAAATTGAGGATAATGATGACAAATACGAAGTAAGTAGTTCGACAAATACGAAGTATTATTATTGTTAAGTAGTTCTGGTAAAATGCTGTTAAAAAAACACGACTCAATAGAATTCTTAGAGTTGTGATGCTTTCAGCATTGAACAATGATTAGATAATGATAAAGGAGCTACATGATGCACTTTTTTTTTCACAATGTCAAAGGGTTTGGCGGTGTATAAATAAACTGCTCAAAGAAAATAAAGGGAACACTTTACATTGCGCCGTTCAAGTGTTGCCTTTATTTTTTGGAGCAATATATCATGCCTGTGACAAGAAATCAATTACTATGACATGATAATGTTTTAAACTCATTGATTTGACATAATTAGTCCAAACAAATCACAATGTCCGTCCGCGTTGGGATGTTTTGCTTTACTTGTATGAAAGATATTTTGTGCTGAACTCATTAATTTTTTTTGCCATAATTAAACAATACCCCGGAAATGGAAACGCACAATGCATTATGGGATTGATTTGTTTTTATAGTGACCATTGTTGTTCACTACTGATCAACACGCATTGCGGGACATAGTGAGACAATTCGTACATAGGGGATAATCTATTCTCACGACGCAATGGAACAACACGAAGAGTCCTACTGTATATAGTGGAGAAGGAATGATTCCGAAAACAGTACACCTGCGTGCTCTGGATCTTCATCCGGCCTAGCCGTAAACATGCGGGTGAACAAACTGCGCGTTGAAGCGGTAATTCGCGTTAGCTAAATTGTGATTCAGGAAAATTCAGGACAGTTCTCTCACAAGCGCATTTTTCAGAAATGGGCGGATAACAAAAGCTTTATTTGGTTGTTGGATTTCACATTTAATGGCTTGGTAGGCACTCCAAGGGCCCAAGTATTTACGTGCAAGAATGAAAACGTATATTCTCCAAAATATGTTCCCTTTAAGGTTTAGGTATACAACAGTCCCATGGAGCTCGCTCTCAGATGACATGGACTCAGATGCAGCTCTGCACTGGGTTATTTGCCGAGACTTAATAATGCATCGTGAATATTCAGGTCACGACTGACGATTGCTTGCTTGGTTCTACTTTTCAATATAATCCCAACATAGACACCCTGTATACTGTTTGACTTGTATATCAGCGCCGTTGCTGTTTGTGAAACTGCTTCGCCTCCCCCGTTGAGCTAACACGAACTGTTGACTTAACATATTTAAGCAGGCTGAATGACGACTGTGTACACAGTCACCTTTCACGGAACATTTCATCGACAATTTTTACACGCATGTTGAGCAGAGAGCCTCTTCTACTTCATCACAGTATGACATTTCAACAATTCATGTGTTGACTTTCCATAAAGCCTCCTTAAATGTACCATTGAGAGTAAACCGAACTGCAAATTGTTTTGACACATGAGCTAGGATAAGTGTTGACACTCTCCTTTAATGAACCCCTCCGAGAGGAAACGGCAGGCACAAAGTCTTCCTAATTTCTTTTCACAGAACTCAGCCGATGTACCTCAGTCTAATTTAGTTTAATTTCATCCATTAGGATTCTGAAAGCAGTTCTTGCCTAGCTTCTCAAGAGAAAATAAAATCAATTTGAAACATAACAGAGCTATCAGCATCTGGAGCAAGCCTGTATGCTTAGTCATTATCAGTTCCTGCCATGTACCTGTACATGGTGACCTACATGCAGTCAATGTATCCAATACAAGTCAAGCCATTAGTAAACCACACAATTAAGAAAATGACATGAAAGAAACACCCATGCATGGATGCATGGGTGTCTTTCATCCATTTTCCGAACCACTTTATCCTCACATGGGTCACGGAGGGTGCTGGAGCCCATCCCAGCTGTCTTCCAGCAGTAGGTGGGGGGACACCCTGAACTGGTTGCCAGCCAATCGCAGGGGACACATACACGAACAACCATTCACGCTCACAATCACACCTAGGGACAATTTGGAATGCCCAACCAACTTGCCATGCATGTTTTTGGAAAGTGGGAGGAAACCGGAGTACCCGGAGAAAACCTACACTGGCACGGGGAGAACATGCCAACTCCACACAGGAAAGCCGGAGCCGGAATCGAACCTTATGCCTCTGCTCTGCGAGGCAGACGTGCGCACCAGTAGGACACCATGCCGCCCGGAAAGAAACATGATACAGAAAAAAAAAAAAAAACGGTGGAGGTTAGCTGTTAGTTTATGTTTTGTAAAACCCTTGCAGGTATCATAATGTCATCATAGATGCATGCTGAACTACCACGTGTCATACTTTAAATGGCCGCCTATCTTTGGGTGTACCCCACAAATGAAGAACGTGTCATCGTCTATCGCTAATCTACGCTAACGTTGAAAGAAAAACATTTCTGGACGGAAAATAAATACCCAACAATCAACAGAAAAACGTGAAAGCGCTGCAGTAATTGAACCATGTCGGGAATGTAAACCAAGAAAACTCTATATCTCACTTCATGGATGCTATTCTTTCTGCAAACGGACATTGTAGAGTTAACCGCTTTGTCTATTTAAACTCCGAAAAACAGCGCTAACCCACCAAAGCACGTTAACAGCCATCATGTAAGATTTCTACATGTTGTGGATCTCGCCACAATGTTGCGGTAGTCCGTGTTTACGTACCCGCAAGCTATGTGAGAAATGCTTCAGAAACAATTTCCCTTCCTCTATTAAATGTTTGATTTGATCTGAGAAATGTCGTCTCCAGTTCCCTGTGGCGTTGATCTTTAGAAATAAAGTCAGCTACGGGATGCGGATAAAGTTGACAGTTATCGGTGTGCGGTGGCTGAGCATCAAAAAGAAAAGAGAGTGTGTTTCCGTGCATGACTTTGACTCACGATGTACAAGTGTGGACATGTACTGGTTGAAAGGTGACTCAACAGTGTGTGCCTCCGCGCTTCATTGTTTCACCGAGTTGGTGACAGTTGTTGACTGATGTGTTTTTTTTTTTTTTTTTTTTTTTTTTGTGCAGGGTAGGGACAGAGTCAGCAGTTTTGCCCTGCGCGTGTGTGTACTTGTTTCTTTTTGTGAGGAGTTTTTTTGGGTCATACGCAGCCATCCAGATGGGACACACTCCGAGGTTTTTGTTCGACAATTCGCTTATGGGCTTTTTTTTCTATTGTGGTTCTCGTTGGCTGTCGTTGTCCATCTGTCCTCCATCATTTCAAGAAATGTTTTGAATATTTGGCTTACCCTATGCCACAAAAAAGAGACAAAATATGAATCAGTTTTGCAGTTTTACACAACAAACATCAACCTCAATCATTCTGCTGTACACTGTAAATTTCTCCATTGTGAGACAATCAAGGTTTTTCTTATTTTATGATAAACTGTCAAACCCACAGAGACGTACATAACTCCAATTATTCCATTTTTGTATTCCACTACAGGTACTATATATGCAGATGGTATTTTAAGTACTATTATTTACTATTATTATACGATCATTTATGTTATTTAAATTTTTTTAGGTAATTTTATAATATTTAATTCTAATTCTATATGAATTCGAGATTAATAATTCATTTATGAATCATACGTATTCATTGCAGGCTCCTGCACAAATGCCATTCTTATTCTCGGCACTTTTAAAGATTTGCGAGCTTCAGGGAATAACATTTTTAATCCGCAACGCCTCCGGTTATTCAGATTATAAAGTCGGGAATGTGTCTGAGCCTCTGGTTTGGAAGGTGTTCCACTTTGACATTTTCTACTACAAAAATCGATCACAATATACCACTATTATGTTTTTTCTTTAATTATTGAATATTTCTGTATGTAAACGTGCTCACAGAATCCAACACAAGGACCAATACATTTATCGAACTAATAATCAATACACTATTGAGAATTCTTATTTAGGCTTGCCTCCAATTTCCATGTGAATGTCATGACATGTAAATAATTGTTGTGCCAGCTGATGCGTTTGCTGCGATGACCACCGTGTACATTTTCCTTTCATGACCGCTCACTAAAAGTTCATTGGTGGTGTCCAGGTTGATGAACACAGAGAACAGCATCATACAGAGCAGGGAGGAGGAAGGCGGGAACTTCGAGCGGACGTTGGTGGCTTCCGAGTTCGTTGACTGGCTTCTGCAGGAAGGGGAGATGGCGACCAGGGAGGAGGCGGAGCAACTGGGGCGGCGCCTGCTTGAACACGGGATCATCCAGCACGGTGAGGAGGGAGGACGGCTCCACTTTGGAACTTGATTGGAAGCCTTTAGTTCAATCAAAGCGCATTTATATCAATCTGTCTTTGTCGTCATCATTTCTTTTACTTTGCTTGCTTCGGCTTCCCTGCCGCATTCTGGACTTTCTTGCGAAATCCTCATTTCTGTTCAGTTCATTTTTCGTCTCTCTTTTCGATATACTCTCTACCCTGTCCAATTCATTTGAGAAAGAAACAAGTGGACGTAGTAATAAAATGGTTGCATTTGTGTGTGCACCCTACAACTTTGGCTTTAATAACCTCTTTTGGGGTAGGATTCTATCGGTATGCTACAATCCTGCATTAGTAACTCATAAATTGGACAGGTATATTTTATCCTAACTTTCAAGCCCAGATAAACTGGAATGATACGCAATGGAGCACAAATCTGTCAAGACGCAACAATCCTAGATTGGATCAAATTGTGCACCATCATAGATTTTGATACGGTGCAGGCACTTATGGAAAATGTTGATTTAGTTATTTTTTTAAATAGGGATGGGTGAATACTGCTACCAGAATTATTTGGGAAAAAAAAAATAAACTAAATGGCCATCACCATGGTACAGCAGTTCACAGAGGTTTGAATCTGTGCTTTGTTTGCCGTGAGCCGAAACACGACAAGAAATCCCGAATGACTTTCACTCAAGCCTCCGCATGATGTTAAATTTGATTTGATGTGGATGTTGTGCGTGATTCAATTAGAGTTCCCTGAGGAGCGGTCACATGGCTGCATTGTTTATTTTTGAACTTCCTACAACATACAGCAAATGCCAATTTGAAACATGACCTTATAAACAGCATTAGTGGACATTACTGCTTTCCGTGTTTTACATGTGAGTAGTTTGCAGAGTGAATGAAGAGAAAGCAGACAAAGAACTCTTTCTGTTGGTGCGCGTCACTGTAATTGAATCGAGGACCTCCACGGTGTTGGAATGTGCTGCGTTTTACACTGTGGGCACACACACACACTGCAACTTTGTGTGTCATGCGTCTTTGTTAACCACGATGCTTGTAAATGAACCTTCTTATTGGATGTTTAAAGTCTTTTCTTTGCATTTTATCATTCATTCAGAGGTGACTTAACAAGTAGGTTGAGGACAAGTGTTCCCAAAGCAGCCTTAATGTGTATGCGGGTGTATCCCTTTATCAAGGAAGTAAACACAAGGTACATCAGCATGTTATTTGCTCAGCTCTCTTTTTTTTTTCTGAAATGAAAATATTTGCGGAAGTGCGTCTTTTTTTTCCCTTTAAGATACGATATACTCTATAGATGAGTAATGAAACACATTTTAATCAATTAAATAATGTCATGAAGTTTGAGATCATTTTCTGTTTGGTCCCAAATCATCTGATTTTAATTAAAATCCATCGCGGCTGTTTCAGAAAGCTCTTTATCTTGTCATCTACTTGCCTAAAATTATCCCCCGGCTTTCTTTGCCCAGTCACAAACAAGCATCACTTTGTGGATGGACCGCTCCTCTTCCAGTTCAGGATGAACTTTCGGCGGAGGCGACGGTTAATGGAGCTTCTCCAGGAGCGGGGTCGCGGCATTCCCGAGAGCCACGACAGCCCCTTCTGTCTCCGCAAGCAGAACTCGGACGGAGGCAACACCAGTTTTCTCTCAGGTAGTCCGCACTTCACCACACACGCGCGCACACACACACACACACACACACACACACACACACACACACACACACACACACACACACACACACACATATATTGTTTGTACTTCAGAAACATGCAAAATGTCAACGTAGCGTGTATTGCCATAAAGGACAAGAAAAGAACTGCAGGTGATGGGACATAATTCGCTGGTACTTAAATGTTCAAGCACCTTTCTTCACACTTCCTGAATTTTCATGTACTCAAAGACACTTTACAAGAGTTTAAAACACGGGATAAAAATGTACACTTTAAAGCCAAGCACACATGATTTAAAACAAACACATTTAGAAGAAGAAAAACAAAGCAGAAATGGGTTAAAGAGATTCAAAGGTGTTAAAAGCATTGCGGAACAGCTGAGTTTTAAGAAATGACTTGAAGGATTGGAGGTCAGTACAGTTGCTGTCATTTAAATATAACCAGAAGTTATCAATCTCCAAATTCTTTTCATCGCAGGTCACAAGGTAGTTATGGTTAACCGCAGAGGTGGTTTATAATTGTGTCAGCTTTTACAGTGCACTCATGCTATTTGTGGGGGACAGGACCCGGCCAGCCTCCAAAATAGCAAAAATCTGCACATAATTCACGGCCATTAAAATGCATTGTGTGTGTGGGGGGTGAAAATAAAGTATCACAAAAACTGCTGCTAATTATTGGCACATGTCTCTAACGCAATTTGGGTACAGGCAAGCGTGTGGTGGATGTCAACATATTTTATTCATAAATATGACAATAGCTTGCATCATACCCTCTGAATCTTAGTTGAAATGAATTCATTGACCACATTGTTATTATTACTATTTTTATAATAATAATAATAATAATAAATTATTATTGTTATTATTATGTCTCTATCTCACTCTGTGGTGTCAACAGTGAGTCCGACTAAAGAGATCAAGATGGTAGTCGGAGTCCGCCGCAGTAGCATGAGCAGCAGCTGCGGCAGCAGTGGTTACTACAGCAGCAGTCCCACGCTCAGCAGCAGCCCACCGGTCCTGTGCAACCCCAAGTCCGGTGAGCACGCCATACTCTATGCATTCTGCTATCCCAAAGAGCTACAGTGGTCACATTCTGCTGTGTCAGTCTTATGGCACTCGCGCTATTTCAAGTTAGATTCATTGCAACTACGAATGGATACTGAAGACATTTTGTTCCAACTAAGCAATGTGGATCATCTGATGAGATGGAAAGCTTCAGCATGAGGGACAGAAATGTATGAAGTGTATGTTGCTGTGTATGAGTGTGCGCGCACACGCGTGGGTTGTGTATGCATGCCTGTGCATGTGTGTGTGTGTGTGTGTGTGTGTGTGTGTGGGTGTGTGTGTGTGTGTGTGTGTGTGTGTGTGTGTGTGTGTGTGTGTGTGTGTGTGTTGGAAATGTCCTTGATGGTCCCTTGGTAGGCACAAAATCTTTCAGCTACAAGTACACAACAAAAGCAGGAAAAGGAACCACACACACACACACACACACACACACACACTAGAAATATTTCCTTTCTGCCATATATAAATTGGCACGCAGTTTAAAACAACAGTAACACAATGCAATACATCCCAGGCCCAGTGATACACACTTAATTTAATGAGATCCAGTGCAAGCACTGTATAAAAATGAATTCAACCTGAGCCCTACAGTGCGCAGTTTGGTTCTGCAACTTTAATCATGTTACAATGTCAAAGCAACAATATGACTGGAAAGGCACAATATTTCGTGCAGCTCCTGTAATGCATCTCATTAGTATTTATATCTGTCGAAGGGGAAGTCCTTGAATTGCACTTGACTAGTACCGGTAAGTACTTAATGTTTGTGAAGTACATTTTTGTGTTTGTGTTCACATGTAATGTAAATACAATGATGGAGGATTTTTCTTTTAAATTCAAGATGTTTTACATGAGTAAAAAGTTCAAGGATGGGCAAAAAATGTTTGTGCTCAGCTCAAGGGCCATGTTTAATTTTTAAAGCAAAAAAAAAAAAAAGGGCCACATCCTTAGCGGGTGAGCTTGGAAAAAAAAGCTCAAGTTAAGTTCATTTTAAAATAATAGTCAAAAACATAATTCTTTTCAAATGGTTGAAATCAGTTTTGGATTAATTTGGTTAAAATTAATTATCCAATTAATTGATAAAGAAAACCAAAAAACATAAATCACCAGGGGCTTACACATTTTAATTACATTTTCAATTTTGCTTTGCTTCTAGACAACAAAATACAGTTTGCTGCAAAACACAATGTGAATTCAAGAATTGAAAACTGGTTATACATAAAAAAAAAAAAAAACAATGATTCATTTCTTATTTTGTCATTTTTATTGTTTAATAAAACCCTCACTTCAAGTCTCACGGATGAACCTGAATCAAAAAAGAATCAAAAAATTAAAAAAAAAATTAAAAAGCCGTTCCTTAAATTAATTCACTGATTTGCAAAACTGCTCCGTCCGCATCGAATAAGAAATATTTCGAGCCTTGCAAAGGATCGCATATAACTTGCCCGCAGCAATTACAAATTGTCAATATTTTCGAAGCCACGTGATTGTTTTCTGTTCAGGGATCATATTTGAGTGTCTTTCTGTTTGAGGAAGTTGTTGTAAAAGAGAACGGGACATGTCCTTGTGCAACACACACACACAAAATGTACAGTGTATGTGTGTGTACAATACATCCCAGCCCCTGGCATTAGTCAGAGAATAAAAAAAATGTTCTGTGGTCGGACAGTTCTGAAGAGACACGTGAGTCCAGAGGAGCTCCAGACGCCAGGAGGACCTTTTCTCAAGAAGACATTCACTGTAAGGCCACACACAGACATGCACGCACACGCATGCCTCCACAAAGGCCACTTTTATGCTGTTGCAACACGGTATCACACATTCAAACGCTGTTTTGAAAACACACAGTGGTCACGTGTCCCTCAAGGCAACGGCAAAGAGACACCTACTTAATACAACACACCTACAGCAAATCCCTTTGTTGTCTTTTGGTAATGCGTCATACTCCCACTGCATGCGCATGATCGTGTCTTGAGCACAGTATGAAGCATCTTGTGATACTGCCACGGCAACCTTTGATTTGACCTTCCGCAGATCGTAGGCGATGCTGTGGGCTGGGGCTTCGTCGTACGAGGCAGCAAACCCTGTCACATCCAGGCGGTGGACCCCGGGGGACCCGCAGCAGCTGCTGGCATGAAGGTAAGGGCATTTTATACACCACATACAACGCATGCAAAGATTGGAGCAAAAACAAAAACAACCACGTTGATTTACAATTTGGAAGTGCGTAACATTGACAGGAAAAGAAACAAAAGATGGAACGAATGACTACAAGTGCGTAACATTGACAGGAAAAGAAACAAAAGATTGACTAAACGAATGACTAAAAGTACTGTAAGAGGAAGACGGGATCGTTCCCTCCCGCGCTGCCACCACAGCTGGCGCGATGTGGTGTAAGCAGAGTGGCAGCAAGGAATGCTGGGAATGCATTGCACAGTGACTATCGTGAATTGGCCAGGCAGAACAAAACAACCAGCGGCAGGCTGGCTGCAGGCGACAGAGAAGCAGACAAACGCATGACTTCGCTGTTAAACATTACAACAACTCATATGATGACAGAGTTGAAAGTTTGATAGTTGATGATTAAATGATGAGCTCCTGTTGATTATGTTATCATCAAATAAAATGTAATGTCGAATGTAAAGCAATGGAGATAATCAGGTTTTTTTTTGTGTCAAAAAAAAAAAAAGAGGAAATGGGCAGAGTGAATAACCACTTTGCTGTGACGGTTATATTCGGTCGCAGTGGAAATGTGCGGCAAGGTTCACGAGCGTAGATAAGGCACATTGTTATCTTAATGTAAGATTAACTGGTTTCAACTTGGACTGATAGTGTGACCTAAATGGTCACTAAACTACAATATTTGACACTCAAATGAAATGAAGGCACGTTTCCCCAATCAAAGTCAAAGCTTTTGCTGTATCAATACTGTTTTACTCATGTCATTTTCAATTTTACCAGACAAGAATGTGCTTGCCGTTTGTTTATGAGGAGTTGCCTTGCTCCTCTCTGCGTTCCACCTTGCGTGACTCATTTTATTGATGGAAAATTAGTTCGCAGTAACATAATCCTCCCAGGGAAGGCCACGTTGCAAGGTGTTGACACAGGCGTCCACTCCACGTAAGAGGCCGAAGGGTGGAGCACACAGTCACTGTGACCTCAGGGAGCACGTACCGCACACTATCTACTATCCACCAGACATACTTTCTGTAGTCCAAGTACCCTGATAACACTTGCTGTATGTTACATAGTAAACATCCCAATCTATGGGTCTCTCATGAGAGGCCCTTTCAGTCCAGTATTATGTCCCCAGGAGGCGGTACTAAATTTAGGAAGAAAAAATCCCCGGAAAGTAATAATTTTATATATATATACACAGTATATGTGTATTTTTAATTTATTTTTTAAATATAAAAATGTCCTCCTTTGTTCCATATGGTTCTAGAATTGGCTACGGTGAGCCTTATCTGGCCTACATGCCATAAGTTCCCCCAAGCCTGATTGGGCAATAAAAAGCTGGTTGATAATGACATATTTTATTATTCTAAATGCAAATACGAATCAGCTACACTAGAATGTGTGCAAATAAAGTAGCCACAAAAAATTTTGAAAGATGTGTTTTACACATTTTTCATACCAGGCAATTGTTGCAACGTGTCATCTGATTTTTACAGCTTTGTTTGTGTATGTGTACCATTCGTAAACTCCCTTGAGGGTCCTTCATTTCCCCTTCCTTCCTCTCCTTCTCTGCTGGAAAAGGTGTGTTTGTTTACTCGACCCTTTTTAGAAGTTGTGTGTGAGTGTTTGCTGACTGCTAAATTACTGCAAACACAGACACCTGTCCATTTGTTTATATATTTTATCCTAGTTAAGAGCTGCAGTAGTCAGACATCGTTTCGCAAAGGTCACGTTAATAATTGTTAACCCTCCAAAGATTTGCATTCTGAAAATACAGTTTTGGTCCACAAATTTGGGGATCATTTCTCTGCCGAGCAATCAAATCTACATGTCAGCAAAGTAAATGGACATCTCAGTGAAAGCTCTCCGATTCCTCTTCATCACCTGAGAAAGAAGAACAAGCTCTTGCAAAACTCAGCATGTCCTCTCAGCATGGGTCTATTTTTCGTAGTCCTTCCTCTCAGAGGTTTTCTTTTTCTCTTACCCCCCGCCCCGCCGTCACTCCCCCTGCCCACTGGCACCCAGCCAAGAGGAGTAACAAGCCCACAGCAGTGAGAGGAGGCCGGAAATAGGGGGAGGGGGGAGGGGGGGGTGTCAGTGAAGAGAAGTTGTAAAGGAAGCTTGAACATACAAAGCAGAGGGAATAAACAGAGATGAGATGAGAATCTACTCAGATGACTGTGTGTGTGTGTGTGTGTGTGTGTGTGTGTGTGTGTGTGTGTGTGTGTGTGTAAGAGCATTTTTATAGGTTGAGAGAGGTTAGCAGCAACAACATGGGATTATTTTACGTGTTTTATTGTTGTTCAGTCCTTACAGAGAACAGCATATCTTCTCAACAATGCCAATTTCAAATCTCACACGTGCACACGTGGATGTGAAGAGACTATAATCGCATTTAGCGCACACAGCAACATTTACAGTAGATTCTGAGGCTCTGATTTTGAAATTTGACATATAGGTATTTACTGTAGCGATTTAGCCTGATGAATAATCCTGTTTGGTCTACTGTTCCAACCTGACACACCAGGTGGTTTTTGCTTCACAAAAAATGTTTCTTTATCAAATCTATCTGGAAAACAGCCATCACAAACTGTTTGGAAAGGGTCAAGTACTTTTACGCAAAAAGTGCTCGGAAGAAAGTTCGTTCTGTCCTACACAGCACAACAAGCAGGCGGGCACCGCAGCTCCAGCCAAATATCCAATGTAATAATCATTTGAAAAACTGCTTTCTTTTTATGATTTATTTTTACATTTCGCAAATGAAGCGTGAACTCAGAAGGAAACAAGAATGGCAGTGGGGAAAATAAAATGCTTCTTTTCAAGGACGTCGACGTTCAAAGTTGATCTCCTTTGTCTTTAGGTTTGCCAGTTTGTGGTCTCAGTCAACGGCTTGAACGTCCTCGCTCAGGACTACAGAACTGTGAGCAACCTGATCCTTACTGGCCCCAGGACAATCGTCATGGAAGTCATGGAAGAGATATGACTGTTTGAGCGCGGCCGCTTAAAAGAAACGTGCAGTGGGAATACCCCGGCTTCAGTGAAAGCCACCTGGATGGAGAAAGCAGGTGAACCCTTGCACCTGCTGTCCTGTTCTTGTCCTCGGCATCTCAAAGCACACAAACAATAAGTCAGGAAGGATGCAGTCTTCTGGATTCTACTCCTCTACTTTTAAATTCAGAGGACGGACGGTCCACATCTCAAAGTGACACTTTGGAGATGAATGGGTGACAAGTTACATCTACAAGAGATGAATTACCACCTCCAGTGACCTTTTCCCTCGCTCGTTCCCCAATTAGTCAATGGCAGCTTCGAAGAGACCAACGCTGCCCTCTTCTGGCGCAGGCACACACACACACACACACACACACACACACACACACACACACACACACACACACACACACACACACACACACACACACACACGCACGCGCGCGTGCGCATCCAGCCACATTGAATTGAATTAACAGGAAATGTGACGTGATAATACCGTATGAACCTAGTTACAGTGTATTCAAGAAGTTGAATCAAAGAAACTATGATTTAGTCAAATGAGGCTTCTTAACATTTATTCAGGCTGATGTTGGGTCAGCACGATAACTATAAGCTCTGAAAAAAAACCCCCAAAAAAACTGCATTATAGATTACCTAATTTTTTTTAAAGCACACTGGTTCATAATAACAATATAAAAATTCCATTTGTATGGCCTAATAAGACACTTTGTAAAACATACTGTAAGGGTTATCCAAAAAGTGACAATCATGGCACACAATAAATGTACAGATGAAATTGAATTCTTAAAATGTGTACAGTACTCACAAATCAATTTAATACTAGCATCAAATTATGGAAGACTCCCGTGGATTAGCACCACAAAACAATTTGAGCTAATTTTCTGACATAAATTTGCTATTTAAATGTGGCAGGTTATAAATGGAGATCATTGGGTGGGCTTAGACCAATTTGTCATGGGCTATATAACAGCCCCGATCCACATTGGATAGTCAGGGTAAATACACAACTGAATGTATTGCCGACGGAAGAGAAGAACTTTTTTCCAACACGAAGCACTTAACCTTAGCTTAATTTAGAGATGCACACTATTTCTTTTTTGAATGCTGCTACATCATTAATATGTTCACAATGCAGTATGATGGCTGTAAAAATTGAGTCCCCGCATGACTTTTTTTTTTTGTGACATAGCATTTGAGCCGTTGTATGTAGAAACTAAAACATATTGCATAGAAGTAACCAGGTGTAGCATATAAAGAAATTGAATATGACCTTCCCCTTGGTGTGTATGTCATGTCAAAATATAAATTCCCATTTTGTTTCTCTCTCTCTCTCTCTCTCTCTCTCTCTCTCTCTCTCTCTGTCACACACACACACACACACAGGACCTCAACATTAGTTATCAGTTCAAATAATCTTAACATATTACCGCATCAACTATTAGAAAGCCTCTCGGGATGATGCACAACAAGCATGTCAAAACAGGATAACATGCAAGTGCTGTCCAATGGAAAAACATGTCCACAGTTGGTCTGTTTTCATCCGATTGTCACAATGAGCCGTAATGTGTTTTGTGTCAACACGGGTGTTTTGACGTGCTGCCCGCTTTCACGCCTTTCATCAAGTGTGGGCAGCACATCCGCCTCACAGTTGAGAGGTGCTGCTGGGGGTTTTCAATCTCACCTTAGTGCAGAGAACTTGCAATGAATTAATAGATAGATAGATGGATAGATGGCCAGCCTTGCCAGGGTGTAGTATCAATGTATTCACAAGATCAATACCTCTCTGATTGTGTCAAAAAAATGATCATTATTTTCTGTGTAGGGCAGAATTTTTGATGCAGTTCTTGTATTGGCTCAGGTGTACCTAATGTAGTGTCCAGTGAGTCTACGTACAAATTAGTCCTGTTCTTAATACTCATACTCAATGCCTATTCAAGCCTAACATTTATTCCAAAGGATTTATCTGTCAACTATGTCAAGTAAAGCTACTATACTAGACTAGAGGCCACTAAAATAGTTTGTGGTAAGAGGTGACCTCTGTTTCTTGTCAATCTTTGTGACTTCGTTTAATGCAGTGGTTCTCAACCTGGGTTCGATCGAACCCCGAGGGTTCGGTGAATTGGTCTGAGGGGTTCAACGGAGCCTTTGCCTTGGAGGTTAAGACACACCCGCAGCAGATGATCACATTACATCGCTTGTTCAATCAGTGCTGCGGGAAATTGCATACTATCACTCAGTTGTCAATGAGTGACTGTCGTGATAGTACGTCGTGTGATTTTTTTTTTTTTTTGATTTTTTTAAGTACATTCCAACTATGTCGAGCCAAAAAAAAAAAAAAAAGCGGTCGGACGAATATTTACAACATGTATTCACATGAATCACGGAAAGTGATGGGAGTCAGTGTCCTATCTGCATGATTTGTCATGCCAAGTTGAGCAACTCAAAACTGAAGGAACACTTCTTGAATCCTATTTTTATTCATCACTAATGAAGGGTTCGCTGAATGTGCATATGAACTGGTTGGGTTCTGTACCTCTAACAAGGTTAAGAACCACTGCTTTAGTGTCTTCTCTACTCTAAAGGCCATTGTAGACAACTCATCTAAAAAATGCAGTGAGGAAGTACGTCATTATTTTACCAACCATAGATGACTGCTGTCAGTTTGTGTTTTTTAAAAATGCAGATTTTACAGCTTCTTTTACACATACACTTTCTTTTTTCTTTTTTCTTTTTTTTTTTGCAGTTAAGCTGCAGTTTGGATATTTTTGACACTACCTTTAACATGAAAGATGAAAAAACATGAATAAATGAATAGTGATTGACATTAGCTTACATCTGATCCGTATGGTTGATGGTTGTATCTGAGTTTTGAATTGTATTTTTTTTTTTACCCTGACTTTACCTTCACTTTTAAAGTGCTGTCTGTATAATCTAAAGTCTGACTCAGATTGATTTTATTTTTTTGCCTTAAATTTGCTGGTGGCATGGTTCACAACTGGTTAACACATCTACCTCTCTGTATAGAGGTGCAAGGTTGGAATCCGACCTTGCGGCCTTCCTGCGTGGAGTTTGCATGTTCTCCCCATGCCTGCTTGGGTTTTCTTCAGGTATTCCCAATTCCTCCCATATTCCAAAAACATGCACGAGAGGTTAATTGAACACTCAAGATTGTTCTTTAGTGTGTGCCCCACGATTGGCTGGCAACCAGTTCAGGGTGCACCCCACCTACTCCAACACGCCCGCTACCCTCGTAAGGATAAGTGGTTTGGAACATGGATGGATGGATGGACTTGTTTTGCTACTCCTCACATGCGTGTTGCATACAAAATGTCATTTGGTCATGCTGTAGTGGCTGTCGTGCTTCGTTTGAAAGGACAATCAGTGTTTTACAGTCACCTTTAACTCGAACTAGGGCTGATGGCCAAATGCATTTCTATTGATGGCATTCTGTTGACACATACACAGTTCAACTCTAAAAGGGACGATGATATTTTCAGCAGTTACTTTTGACATATACTTTGCAGTCAGAGAGTGACTTTTCTGCTTTTCAAGTGACTATTAAGCTCTATCTGTTATATGAATGAACTGTAGTTACAGTCAATGCAGATATTTTACTGAGAAAAATGTTGAGTGTGAAATAAACGCATTTTGTGTTACTGGGAATGTTGTTCACACCACAATACATTTTGGGATCATATGTGTCTAATTTTGCTTCTTTTACCACCTCTTGCAGAAGTCAAGTGCACTACAACTTTGAAAAGGACACTGTATGAATTTGTACCATTTGTTGAAACCAGAAAAGTGGATTTCTTCATTTTAAGGGCTCCAAATCTGAAGAATCTGAATCTGAAAATGCGTCTGTGCCAAGATCTAATGATGGTAATGTTCGATTCTCCTATTACTAAAAGGGAAGTGTTTATTTTAGGTGTAGAGTGTCCATCCTTAAATTCTGAAAGCATGTACCCGGTATTACTTTCTATGTATTTATTTATTTGAACAAAAATGATCAGTTAAGCAGAGACTTTACTTGGATAATAATAGTAAAATTGGTGGTGCCGTCTGCATATCCAGGTCATATTTTGTTGACTTTATTTAGTTACATTGGTATGTCACACACGTGTACTTAATGTTGTGACCAGTGATTATTTCTTGCAATATTCATGCAAAGATATAAATGATAATTTGAGACTCACCATTGAAAACTTTCCCTTCCATTTCAGTGTTTCACCTCTATGATATATTCTAACCCTATGAGTCCATTTCGATTGCATGCATGTATGTTAAACTGCCCCACATCATGAGAGGAGGCATTTACCAAAACAAAAATGATGCCAGAATCTCAAACATCATTAAACGGCACCTAAATGAGGCCGTGAATCACTGTAGCACAAAGCTACCAGCAGATGGCATTGTTGTACCGAAAATTGTGCGATGTTTTCAACTCGGAAGATGGCCTCTCGTTAGTCCCGCTTGAGAGAAGTGTCGGGAAAATAAACGTTCAGTAGTCCAGTCCCGTCACTGACGGTGGTTCACTTGCCCGACTCTCATGCAGACAGTGCGTGATGGGGTAAATGGTCATCTAGATGTGCCCTGTCACTAACTGATAACCGGCCAAGGGTTTACCCTGCCTCTCGACCAAAGTTTACTGGGAAAGGCTCCAAATGAGTGCAAGCACTGTAATAGAAACGGATGGATGGATGGCAGTGCATATTGTTGTTTTGCAAGAAAGCAAAACAACCGTCACATTTTGTAAGGACATCGCTTTCCCGCTATGACCAAGAACAAACTCTAGGAGTTGATTGACTGAAATGTCTTTAAACTGTGATTACAGTGCTGGGATTGTCTTCTGTCCACTACTTCCTTTGACTAACAGGACAAGTACCGGCAAGCGCAAATGTCACCTACTCTACACTACTTTGGCTCTTGTGTGGTTGTAACTTAGCTTGATTCACTTCCATAAATGCAGACGCAGGTGTGGAGTGTTCTTGTTTCCCAGCCCTTAATGACATCCAAGTTGATGGATGTACTTGCATTGCACCACTGAAAATCTTATTGCAGTCATCCATATTGCTGGCTTTGAAATATTGAGCATATTTCTTCCCTCAGATATTACACAAATAATTATATAATATTCTGTAAAATTGTAAACAGATATAGAGATCCACTTTAAACATCAGTGTCAGGATCCAATTAGACGTTCAAAATATTTGTCGCAATGGGGCAATAAGTTCGCTTCATTTAAAATTCACATTGTGGCATTTCTTTGCATACCAACAATCCAATCCAATTTCATCATTTTCTAGTTCTTGCGATCAATATCAGCAAAGGCCCGATTTTCGGATGCTGCTGAAAGATTTATCCTCAAGCGACCTGACCACACACGAGGATTCGAGATGCAAACTATTGAACAGGTTGAACATTTTCGATTGCCAGTCCAACCGTGTTGTGAGCAGGTCGGGGAGGAAAAACACTTACGAAACCACAGGAAAATCAGTCCAGATCGTCTTTCGCTGACGTGAATATCAGTCTTTTGCTCGCCTGATCACAAAGGAAGGATAATGGCCCTAATTGCTGCCATATATTTAGTGCGCTTTAGACCCAGTGCGATACTGCCTTTGTTGCGACTCTGACATCACTGCTAAAGGCGAAATTTTGGCATGCTCTGCCAGGTGCATTTGTACAGAACAGCTTCGTTTGAATAAACAAGGACAAATCCAGGCTTTAGCAGGCAAGGTAAAAAAAAGGATAGACAGTGTTTGGGTTTAAATTAGTGATACACATCTCAATACACTTCCAATGATACAATGCAGTGAAGATATTTTCCGATCTCCTCATGATGCTCCAATATCAGGTTTGACAGAGTGTGATATGAATAAAAGTTGGGATACTTCTCTCAACAGTTTTCATGCAACAGAGGAGTGGAGCTTGGAACAGCTGTAGCAGAAACCAAAGTTTGCTGCCAGTTTAGTTAACAGCATGCATGAGAGTCTTCCAAATGATCCAAAATGTAGCCAAATGCTTACTGCAGGCATGGCACCTGTGCATTTTTTGCAATCAGCAATGTGAGATTTTGGTTGGATCATTTGAGAGGAAGCAGGGTGAAGCGGCCATAAAGAATTCAGTTCTTTGCGACCCTTGATTGTAATGTCTACATTTATAGGCCATAAGTCATTTGGGCATCATTTGCCAATGATCATTTTCCCATTCTGAGTCGACGTATTGCTGTCATAAAATGTTCATATTTTAGATTAACGGCTACATCCACAAGACAAAACGACTGGTGGTGATATGAACTTTTCGTGTAATTGTTTATCCGATCGATTATTCGGGGAATCGCTTGTCCCCGTACAGCCTCCATACTAAAAAAAAAAAATGACCGAGCAGTGACTGTCATGCTCGCCCGGTCCTGATTGGTTTTTCTTACCCATTTCCCACAATGAGCACATCCCGTTACACTCGCAGTCAATCACTCTTTTTGCCATGCAGATCTGGTTTGGAGCAAGTTATGCAAAATTGGCCTCATGAAAGAAGCTTGAACACGCATGAGACAAGTTTATCTGTGTTCAACGATTTAGTTTTTTGATCATGTTTTCCTCCCCGTTTAAATAGTGTTCGACATAACTGATGAGGCCGTTTAGCTTGTTCGACGTGAGCTACACTAGTTTGTAAGAACGACAGAAGCATTTCAGTAAACAGCCACATTCACAAGCATCATTTGCCAAATAAATGCAATACAGTGCGGAGTCTACAAACACCAAAGAATGCTGTCTAACTTGCGATGGTAGAGTGATTACATTAGCTAATAAGTTAAAAAAAAAAAAAAAAAAACTTTTTCCGACCGTTGTCATGCATGTTCATTGCCGTGTCTCAAAGCGACCCCAACTCTGCTTTCAGTCATGAACTAAAACTTTAATTTCTACTATTTAAATAACAAAAACAATGGCTATAATTCCTTGATTGATAATTTGTTGCTGCAACAAATGTCACTGCAGAAACATGCTACATTTGTTCCAGATTCTGCTAAAATTATGAAAAAAATAATGATAATGGAAAAATAGTTTCAAGACATACATTTTTGTTTCGACCAATTTTTGTGGTCCACGCAACAAAGTTGTTCGACTTTTTTTTCCCCAGGTGCACCGTTTTCCCCCTCACATTCCAAAAACATGCATGGCAGGCTTATTGAACCCTCCAAATTGTCCCTCGGTGTGAGTGTGAGTGCAGATGGTTGTTCATCTCTGTGTGCCCTGCGATTGTCTGGCGACTGGTTCAGGGTGTCCCCCGCCTTCTGCCCGAAGACAGCTGGGATAGGCTCCAGCATGCCCCGCGACCCTTGTGAGGATAAGCGGATCAGAAAATGGATGGATGGATGGATGGATGGATGGATGTGTCCATACCATGACAGTTCCCATTGGAAATGGTAACTTATACCTCAACAGGGCAGCACTCTGGAAATGACAGTTTAGGCTGCAGATAACTAGGTGACTAATAATTGTGACCAGTCACACTAATCACTAGGCTGTGGTCACTTCAGGCCCTCATATTAACCTGCTGCTTGTTATTACCACTCCAACTGAGTGTGTGTGCCTGAGTGTCCATGTGCATGTCCATATGTATATGTCAACTGCCTGGTGGCCTGGGTAGTTCTTGGACTGAGACAAGAAGGCTTTCTTCAGTTTTCGAGGTACGAACCAACTCAGCCAGTCTAGTACATCGTAGCTGTAAATAAGAAGCAAAGTTCCATTGTGCGCATGGGCCGGGGGCATTTGTGAAGGACACCAGTCATAGCAGCAGCAGCATTTCATAGCGGAGTGACCAGATGGAAGCCATTTCTCAGTGAAGCACACATGACAGCCCCCTGGGAGTTAGCCAAAAGCCACCACCATGAATCACTGACCATGAAGCTCAAATCCATCCATCTGATGGGATGAATATTGAACTGCTTGGCCAAATTTCCCAACAATGTGTGCAGAGAATCCCAAACTCTGAGCCTTCTCACATTAATAGCTTGGTTACGGACAACACTTTATGCTACCATTATAATCATGCTGTGAGGATTTCTGGTAACGTGCTGTAGGATGTGAGGCAAGAAAGATGGATGTAGAAAAATATGGAGGAATTCTGAGTGAATACTCCACCCCGAGAGGGAAGAATACAATTCAACGACCATACACGGTTGTAGAAGCACAGATCTCCACCAAGGCTGATCAATCCACTCTGCATGGCGTACATTTTAGGATTAAGAATTATGTGCTATTTACTACGAAATTGGAGAATAATTTGGATCTGTTCACATTTTGTGTGTGTGTGTGTGTGTGTGTGTGTGTGTGTGTGTGTGTGTGTGTGTGTGTGTTTTGTATTAAACAACCCAGAAAGTTGGGTAGCAGGTAGGTCCAATTTCTGAACAAAATTGGGTTATTCTTGATCCAGCAGTTTTAAGAATGTAGATACCTGTATGTATCTGTAGAATGTACTTATTTTTGTCATATTTATTAATGTTAAACAATTAATATCAAACAATCAAAAAAACATGGACGTTCTCATACGGCGTTTTAAAAAGTGCAAATGCTGATATCTGGATCAAACCAAAATATGTTGGGCTCTTCCTTGGTCATACACAAACGATCCTCAACTTTTTGTGGGAATTTATTCAACAGATTTTGCATGATCCTTCTTACTTAACAAACCGAAGAATCCGATGCAGAAGTAATAAACCTCAGAGGAGGCTTTCAGGAAACTGAAAGAGTCGCCGTGGCCCATCATGCAACACTGCACAGATGTGAAAATTGCCCTGCACTGGCACTCCCCATCCGGTTTGGCTAAGTACTGGTGACCTACTGTAAGGAGTTTTAGAAACTTCCAAAATAAACAAGCTTGAAAGTCATACAGATTAAATCGACCCAGTTGCTTCCAAAAGTGTGCCTTGGGTTAAAAATAAACACTCTTGTAACAATCCCATTGTTTATTTATGCAATTACTTGAGATTCTTATTTGGCCAAAATGTAGAAACAGCGTTTACTTCTTCTACTAGAATTGGATGAAAACCTGCATTAAGGTCACATAAAAACAAACAAACAAACAAACAAACAAACAAACAAAAAACTTAGTAAGGTTCCCTATAGTTAAAATCCCTATCACGTGAATTCACACATTTGTTTGTAAATATATAATACATGTCTTTATTTTTAAGTTACTGTCATTTCTGAAAACATGGAAATACTTGAAGCCTCATTTTGATATACTTGGACATTTATTTAATCGTTCAAGTTTGGCAGGGTCGTTAACAACACTGTGGTCAGATTAACATTTATTTTCACTTAACAGGATCTTTAAGAATATGATACATGATGTATGCCCAGGGAATACGAAATAGCAGAGTGACAATTTATCACCCGGGACAAGAGTAAATGAGGAAATAGTGTGAGAAGAAGCTTAACGTTTCAAAAAGTTGCATTTACTTTGAAGAAAAGAACATTTCTCTAAACCTTTTCAGACTCAAAGCAAATGCAATTGTCACACTTTTCCATCCATTTTCAGCATAGACGCACAAATACTGAGTTCATTTTGAGATATTGCCAATCCCGTCATCATGTTTTGAGGCACACAGAAGCATTCGGTGTGTATTTGGGACTACAATTCTACCTGCATGAAGCAAGACCGAGAGTTGTTCTACAGCAATTCAGGGGTCACAAACTTTTCTGAATATCACAGATGGACCACATGGAGCTGAGCAGAATGACCTGCTGCTCAACTCTACCTACCACGTGACTAATGATTTTATTCATCAGAGCCTTGGGATGGGAAAGGACAGTGACATTGAAGAGGTAGACAGAAGGAGGGTACAGAGGTGAGAAAGGATAAGAACATTAAAAGAGACACTAATCAAATAAGACGAAACCGAAACCAAAGAATCAAAAAGAAACGCTGTTTTTCATCACTCTGCTATAATGCCACAAACTTGACACGTGAGCCCCCCCCCCCCACCTGCAGCATTCATTCAGTTTCTGTGTTTTGTTTAATCAATATAGACACGGTTGCTCGTCTGGAGTCTACTTATAATGAGCACAGAATTGTGTGCAACTTTGATTTGCTCCTTCGTTTGTTCTTTAAGTCATTAACTGGACAAAAGGAATTGAACAATAACAGAGTTTCCCCCCTCAAAAAAAGGTTTAATGCAGTTATCCTCACCACGCCGAGTTGACTAATTTATTCTGCAATCTCAATTTGGACCTGAAGGGGCAGCAATGAGCTACAAGTGCCCAGGATGAGTTGATGAAGAACTAAAAAAAGATGAGTGGTATTGTCCTGATTTTTTTCAATGGTCTGTGATTTATCTAGTGCAAAGGATTAGTTGGATGTATGAAAAACGTATATTGTAAAAAAAAAAAAATAAGTATGACTTAAAGACAGCAATTTTGTACCTTCAATTTGTTTTTAGGTTTGCTGCGTGTATGCAAACAACAGCTGAGGAAGTGAGCACAACTGGGAAAGGAGGAGGTTGAGGGGAACAACACAAGGGAAAGGCATCGTTATCCACTTTATTTTGGTGTTTATGACATCTGGACAGTTGTTTTGACTGAGTCATGAATGAGTGCATGTGTGTGTGTGTGTGTGTGTGTGTGTGTGTGTGTGTGTGTGTGTGTGTGTGTGTGTGGTGCCTCAGGGACACACCTGTTGTGTGTGCAGCTATTTGGGCTTTCAAGCCATCCAGAGGGACATTTGACCAGACCGGCCTCAGTTTCCCATGACTCCCTCAAGCCTGAGGGTGAGCCACACAGCACAGTGAGTGTTTAAAAAGGACACATTTTGTCCCTTTCTGATTGGATTTTGCCTGGGGACAAAAAAGGACTCTTCAATTTAACTGTGCTTGTGTGTGTGTGTGTGTGTGTGTGTGTGTGTGTGTTGTTTTTCTGAAGTATCATCATACCTGTCAACTCATACGGTTTGGCCATATTTCATACGGATTTTGTGGTGAATCTTACATATATGGCCATATCGCACAAATCATACGGATTCTGAAAATTTCGTTTTTGTTTTTTTTTTTCCCCCCCTAACAGGTAGTTCCGTTTGCTTTTGCCCAGAATGGTGCTAGTCTACTCGAATGCTTTCATTTCCGGTCACTTTCCAGTAAATCACGTGGTTCCTAGTTGAAAACAGCAGAGTATTCATTGCATACTTCGGTAGTGTACAAGCAAGTTCTACAAGGAAACAAATATATCATTCATATTTCGTGGGTTTTTTGCTGCCGTTATTTTGACATATAAAATGCTTTGGTATGTTATAAGGATTTTTTGCTCTTTATAAGGATTTTTTTGGTAGTTTATACAGGTTGGCGCTCCGAAAAGTTGACAGGTATGTATCATCACAAGCTAGAATAGCATTTAGAATCTCAGCATTTACCCTGCTAAACAGGAACTTGATTTTTTTATATATATATATATATATATATATATATATATATATATAACTTTCATTCAGTTTGTACAGGACACTTAGACCTTATGCTAATCAGTGGAAACCACATCTTGGGTTTAGTGCAGTGTTGCTTTTGACAGGCAATTGAGTTTTAGCCTTAATTTTTGTCATGATTCGGTTTGGGACCAACAGGTGGCACTGTAGGGCTCCTCCTGCAGCTGCACACCTGTTGGTCATTATGTAATTAGTTCTATAAAAGGACTCCCGTCTGACCACTTATTGTCGGGGCGTTGTTGTTTGTTTGCTTCTGTCATGTTAGTTGCTGTCGGTTTCTGTTGGTTTGTGTTTATTTTTTTTTTTTGCTTATGCCATGGTTTTGTTTGATACTTTGGATTCGTTTTGTTTTCCAGACTTTGTGTGTTCTGGATTTTGTTTCCTTCGTATTTTAATACAATTCTTCAAGTACAATCTTCTCCTCCCTCCCACCTGCTTTTTGGGGTCCACCACCACCTCGCACCATGACAATTTTAGTCTTGGAATGGAATTGAGTAATTCCCCATGGAACACCTGTTGAACATCTAGTAATTGTGAATTGCTGCTTTAAATTAATTCAATTGTCATTATCTGTAAAATTCCGAACATAAATTCATGGTGAAGAACTGTTCTGGAACAGATTATGTACCTATCATTATTACATGTAGGTTTTTAATGAAATAAAGTTTATGTTTGAACGTTTCCAGGGCAAACCCATCAAAAATGCACATATGCCTCTGGACCTCAGTTGAATTATGCATATGCCCAAACGCAGGATATCAGTTATACTAAGAAGGCGATGTCTTTAACGTTTAATGCACTTGCAAATTCCAATTAGTATTTTCTCGCCTTGACCGGTGAAATTAAATGCAGTGACCTAGCTAACCCCTGAGCGCAGGTTCCGGATATGATCCCGACCACGGGGGTCGATTGGTGACCCCGGTAGGCTGCAACCTGCAGGATAAGCACGAGTTCTTTTGCGCAGCTGCACTGCGTGGCTCCACTGTACAATGGTCGTGCGTATACGTGCGTTTATGTGTGTGTATGTGTGTGTGCGTGTGTGATGAGACGTAGTGAGGGTTGGGACAGGAAGGATTAGCCGTAGGGAGGGATGACTGAATAACGAGGAGCGAAACACCCACCCATCCACTCCCCGACTCCCGACCGAGCGAGCGAGCCGTAGCCGTAGAGAAGGAAAGGTGAAGGAGACGGGGAGAAGAATCCTTTCGGGACGCGGCTGCGGTCGTTTCGGATTTCTCTTTTTGGAGGAGAAAAGAGGACGCTCTCAATATATGACTGGAGAGGTATGAAATGCGATTTCATTCAGTGTGCGTGCATGTGCGTGACGGTGGGAGCGGGTCTCAGGTGCGTGGGGTTGCAGGTACAGTAGTAATTTGAATGGGTTTGCCGCAAATACAAAAAAAAGAGCTTAAAGTCAGACAAAGTGGGATGTATACTCAATCTTCCCTATACCTATGAGAGAAAACATGTTCCTATCTCGTGAAACGCTTGAAGCTGACCGGCATCGTCTGAGAAGGGGTTTTTGGCTCGGCTTAGAGCTCCACATGCCACAATCCAATCTTGACACAACTTTGTTACAAGTGCTGTTTTATTCATTGAGCTGCAGGAGAGCGGGTGTCCCCGGGTGGGAAAGATTCCTCTGCCCTCCTCTTGCGTGCGTAATAATGAGCATCAGTCAAGAGGTGAGAGGCAGACGAGGTGAGGGGGAACAAAAAGTGCAGAAAGAAGAGAGGAGAAAGGATGGACAGTGGCACTCACACTGTGTTCCCTATTTGAGGTGTCAGTCAAACTTGGGCGGTATTTTTTCTCCATCGTTTGACCTTTGTTCATTTGTCACGTTACCGAATTCCTTCCTTAGTCCCATTTTCTTCAATAATCCAAACATTTTTGATTGCCACTTTGGCCAAAAACAGAAACTGAAGTGCTATAGTTTAATATACCGAAAAGAACATTGTACACATGTGTAACTGTTTAATAAACTACTCAAAGTAAAAGTGAAAATCTTGCTTAAATTTAGAGGGAAAGTACCTTCAGATGTTGAATTGACGCCCAGAGGGTTGTTAACAGGGCATTCCAAAATCAAGGTTCCAAGATTCCCCGGTTGCTAACCCTAACCCCCTACATCAGTGGTTCTTAACCTTGTTAGAGGTAACGAACCCAACCAATTCATATGCACATTCACCGAACCCTTCATTAGGGAAAAATAAAAATATGATTCAAGAAGTGTTCCTTCAGTTTTGAGTTGCTCAACTTGGCATGACAAATCATACAGATAGGACCCTGAGTCCCATCACGTTCTGTGATGCATGTGAATCCATGTTGTACATATTAGTTTGACCACTTTCTGTGTTTGCTCGACATAATTATCATATATTAAAACATTCTAAAAAAGAAAATCACACCACGTACTATCACGACAGTCACACTGTGACTACTGAGCAAACTAAATTTCCCGTAGCACTGATTGGACAAGCAATGTAAAGTGATTATCTGCAGCCAGTGATGGCCAAGCGGGCGTGTCATAGCTAATTGACATGTTGAGTCAGGTGTGCCTTAACCTCCATGGCAGAGGCTCCGTCGAACCCCTGAGACCCATTCACCGAACCACTAGGGTTCGATTGAACCCAGGTTAAGAACCACTGCCCTACATCATTCATTCAGAAGAGTAGTGCATGAATGGAAATTGTGCATGTACTGTATAACTATCAACTTTTATGACCCCACTGTCGCGTTTGTGAAAGTTGAAAGGTCTCTTCTCCATATTCAAATCTGGTGGTACGATTTATAATTCAGTTTCGGGAGACTAAGGAGGTTATGGACACTGATAAATAATCCCTTGTTTATTTCTAGCAGATAAATTAGTCAAATGAAAGGCTGGTTTGTTAATTTTTTACTCTGTGACTCAAAATCAAAATTTTTTTTCCAATTCAAGTAATTTATATTCTCCCATTGACTGAATAACTTTACTTCTCTGTCATCAAACCTAAAATTTGTTATTGAAGGTCAAAGACCATCTACTCTTCTGTTCGGTATGGTTCTCTTCTCTTCTCTATGAATCCAAATCTCTTCTTCTCTCCACTCTTTTCATTGACGCTTCTCCTCTCCAACAAAGTCCTTCACTGTTTCGGCCTCCTCCGTGTGGGCGTGAAGCTCGATCCCTGTTCTGTGGCCAGTCTAGACTGCCCAACAACTGCTGTGTAATTGTCTCCAAGTGGACGATATATGGGGTTAACTGATTCCAGATCTGCCCCTTGGGGCTGTGTCGGGGGCAGGGTGACAAGGTGGGTCTTCATGACCTCCGGAGCTTCCCGACAGCTGAATGACATTCCTCAATTTTGTCACTGGGTGTCTTGTCTCAGTCAGCATTTAATCTTTGGCTCAAACTCTCTTCATCTTCTTTCAGGTCCATGTCGCTGGTTGTGAGGATGTTTTCTCAGAGCTGTCTGTGGGCTCCGCTGGTGTTACTGGCTGTCATTTCCCATTTTCCCAGTAAAGGACAGGATCAAGGTAAGTTCTCCTAACTATTCTATGTTCTGCACTCTATGTGTATCGCTTTTAAAAACACTCCTCTGCTTCTTCCATCCCCTCTAAGCTTTCTTAGCTTTCCGAGCTCCATTCCCTAACTCTTCTGTTTCCCTTAACTCCTCCTCAGTCAACTTTTTTTCATCACTTCTCCTTCTACATTCTCTCTGATGGAAAGGCTGAGTCCAATCAGATGACATGGCACGTACGCTGATGCTATCATCTCTATCAGGGTACCATTTCAGCTCGGCATCGCGACACTGCTTGCCACCTGGCTGCAGATGCCGCCACGCTTCAAAGTGGTTTTTAATAAATGTGGTGTAAAAGCGCGCTTCAGGCTGGGGTGATTTGCTACGTGATGTGCCGCACAACTTACACTATATTACGCTTCAGTGTGCCTTGCAATCAGCTGCACCTCAGCAAACGGGATTAAATCAGACGGTCTCATCGCAAAAGTGAGCTGTCCTCCTTGTGCTGGCGAATGACTGAAATACGTAGATTGATGTGCATGGTCATGACCATTGTCTAACGCAATTTGTGTTTACTTCAATCTTAAATACCACAGTTTGGTAAGTATAAGACACCCCCTTATATAGTACACCCCCAAATCACCCATGAAAAGCTGTTTTTTTTTCTCTGTACTTGCATTCCATGTATAATACGATCCCCGATTTGCTGGTATTCTTTGTTCAAAGAGTGAATGATATGGTTGAATCAAGATTTAAAACACACCAATAAAGTGTAAATACTTGTAAATTCAGGTTGAAAACTACGCTTTTCCAACTTTTCGCACACGTATCATAAATTGTCTTTCAAAGCATTGTTCAAAATCTTGTTCGTGTATCATAAAGCCTTTTAGTAATTTCAGTAAACTACTTTTGTTTTCTTTAATATGCTTTCAAATCTCTTTAAATCTTTTGTTTGTAACCGATTTTAAATGTTGTACTTTTAATGATGTGAAACACATTTAGTTACTTTGTGAACGTTGTGTACGTCTGTATGCTACCCAAAAACCCAAAGAAGAGACAGTGAAAAGGACACCACCTGCGATGTCTTAACAATAGCAACGATGTCACTTTCAACACCGTCATATATAAATGAATATAATTTTTTTAACCAGCTTCGATTTTCACCATGGTACTGAAGTCACAATCAAATTTTAAATGTCTTAGGCCAAGGAACTCCGGTTCATATCCTTCCTGTTGTAGATTTCGCTCAACTTCAGCAAACTTGATTCAACTGATCAGCTCATCAGCAAGCTCTGTAGCGGCCTGAAATGATCATGAACAATTGAATTAGGTGTGCTGGAGTAGGGAGAGCTCTAATACAAGTGGGATATGGCTCTCGAGGAACCGAAGTTCCCTACCCCTGTCTTAGGCCAATCACGAGCCCGGCAACAATTTAAATTAGACCTAAGATGATGGGTCAACCAAAATGCATGTACTGCAAGACAGATTAATTCGAGGGGGATTTTTTTTTTTTTTTTTTGTGCTACATTTACATTGTGAATGAAGGTTCATGTAAGTGTATCAAAGCTACTGATGTGGCATAGCATCATTATCCACACATGTACAGTTATGGTACTGCAAAAGGGAGCATGATTTATGAATGTGAACATCATTGAGTCAGAGAGAGAGAGAGAGAGAGAGAGAGAGAGAGAGAGAATATGTAATCTAGGAAGTGCAGAAGGTTAAATGCTGTACTTATCTTGATAAAGATTAGGGAAATGAGCCAGAGGGAAATTTCAACATTTTGCTAAATGTGACTGTGACTTTGTGTGTGTATGTGTGTGTGTGTGTGTGACAGAGAGAGAAATATTTAATATTAAGAAACAGCCCCAAACCCAAAAATATTTCAAACATTCATTCATTCATTCATTCTTTCAGTTTCCGAACCGCTTTATCCTCACTAGGGTTGCGGGGGGTGTTGGAGCCTATCCCAGCTGTCTTCGGACAATATTGATATATGTGTGCATTTTATTTCATGAAATCATGACTGTGGATGGTATGATAACCAATTACTTCTCTGCCATGTTTGTGATGTTATGACAGTCATGATTTTGAATGACATTAACACGAAGAATTAAAATGTTCTTTATATAAAACAGATCAGTCAAAGTTTGCATTCAGAGCAATCATCCATCCATCTATTCATTTTCCAATCCGCTTTATCCTCACAAGGGTCGCGGGGGGTGCTGGAGCCTATCCCAGCCGTCTTCGGGCAGTAGGCAGGGGACACCCTGAACCGGTTGCCAACCAATCGCATGGCACACAGAGACGAACAAACATCCGCACTCACACTCACACATAGGGACAATTTGGAGTGTTCAATCAGCCTGCCATGCATGTTTTTGGAATGTGGGAGGAAACCGGAGTACCCGGAGAAAACCCACACAAGCCTGGGGAGAACGTGCAAACTCCACACAGGAAGGCCGGAGCTGGAATTGAACCCGGTACCTCTGCACTGTGAAGCCGACGTGCTAACCACTCGACTACCGGGCCGCCCTTATTTAAAACATTTTGAATGAATTGAAAAAAAATCGTGGACATGTGAACCCACAGGTGACGGACTGAAAATTGTTGGCGGGTGGTGCATTTCGGATGTGAGCCTTCAGTGGGCACTTGAATTACCCAATTCAACACTAAATAAAACTTCTACCATTGTCCCAAAATAATACACAAAACATCATATAAGTATGTGTGGTGTTGCAGAGAGACAGAGACATTTTGCATATTTGAGGAAAAGTACCACTGTAATATTTTGTAGCAATAATGAATATGTATTATTTAATTAATTAACGCCAGCTGAATTTTACTGCCTTAAGTACAATCCGCCGCTTTTAGTGTTTTTTTTCTTTATTAAATTTAAAAGATTTAAACTGATGAAAAACAAATGAAAAATGGTAATTAGTTAGAAGCATGCTACATTTAAAGCGTTTTGAGTTCTCTGTTGAAACTTAGTGGTCAATAACTTTCATTGAAGCACACACACAGTACACAAGGCAGTTTTATGAGGTGAATATTTATTCTCTACATCTACATGGGAATTTGGAGGAATACATCAAAAGATAACTAACTACGGGGGTAAGAGTAGTAAAGAATGATAATATAATAGGAAAAAGGAAAAATTAAAAAACAACTGAAAATCAATCATCTTGGCATGAGATCGTGTTAACGTTCGAAAAAGATAGACATGCCTTGACTAATTTAACCCGTTTTTAAACCGAGTTTTAAGCACGACTCAGGAGGTGAACTCCCTGATTGTCTTCTCAATGGACGAGCTGTTAGGAGTTCATCCCGATTCCAGCCTCGCAGTCAAGCTGGCCAAGTTGTGGGGACAGAAAGTTGTGGGGACTGAAAAAAATAAAATGGAAAGAAGAAACAGACAAGAAAAAGGAAAAAAGGCAGTCTTGCATCCCATGGGACATGGGGGTGCTGTGAACCGGGCTGTTGAAATCTCAGGCCCTCTTTGGAGGTGCATTGGAAGGAGTTCTGGGCACGTGGTGTGGCCAATAAGTTTGTCGGGCTTGTCGGTGTCTTTGCCCTTGCAAGGTAACTCCCGAGACCGCAGAGTGTGGCTCGCTGCCAACAAAAGGAAAAGATTCTTGAAAGAAAAGAAATGTAGCAAAAGAAAAACATGCAAGGTCCCTCCCCAGTGAGGGCCAGAAAGGAGCAGGATCTAGAGCAGGGGTCAGCAACCCGCGGCTCCGGTGTCGCATGTGGCTCTTTCATCCTTGTTTTGCGACTCTGCGTGGCTTGGGAAAATAAATTTTAAGTGTCCGATTGAAGTTACTCGTCTCAAAAAAATGTATCACATCTGTTATGTTCTCCGACTGTACACTAGGTAGCAGTGTTGCTATAAAAATACTGTCGAGATGAATAAAGAAGGAGCGGAGTTGTGCGAACTCGCGTTTTGCAGTTAATAGCCTGTTAAGAAAATGCAGTGTTTGGCTACACTCTGGCCTTGTTATTTTGCCTCCAGTCACCAGACCTTTTTTCTTCAGATCTTGTGCAATTTCGGTGAGCAACAATCGCCTTCTTCGTAGACGTTTGCGAGCAATTGACGTGTCAACAGGCAGATTTGACAGACGGCATGCGCAGAAAGCCCAACGACACCAAAACTGCAGAGTATCTGAACAAAATATGGTATTTGTGTTTGTTCATTTGTTTAATTGTAGTTGGCAATCAAATACGAATGATTCAGAAGAAAATATGAAACACATTTGCAATGTCTTGTAAAGTGATTCTCAAAATTGCGTAAATATGCAAGTCCAAGTTTTTATGATTTGTTCAGTCACACCAGTAAATACATTGGCAGCTTCCACAGGGCTCTTTAGTGTCCAAAGTTGAAAAAAGGTGATGCTGTCAGTGGCCTGTTACGAAAATACAATGTTTGGCTACACTCCGGCCTTGTTATTTTCCCTTCCCGACACCACATACTTATCCTGGTTAGGGACGATGAAACGGACGAACGAAAACCCTAATTCCTTCCTTACTTAGTCCGTCCTTTAAAAAAAAAAAAACTTCTCGTCTTCCATCCTCCATCCCAAAAATGGACGTCTGTCCGGGACGGACGGACACACTGTTCCAGCTCAGGGTCGGAAATTTTATATATATCTATATATCTATATACGGTGTGTGTGTGTGTGTGTGTATAAATATATATATATATATAAATATACCGTATATGATTTTCATACATGTTTAGAGCTCTGAAAATGAAGGTACTATACATAAAATGGCTGTACAATTATGAATGCAATAGCTTTGTAACTGTACGACTCAGTGAAATCTTCATTGTTTTAGTTCAAATCCATTGCGGTAGTATATCAAAGCAAAAATATGTGCAACTGTCATTGTCCAAATACAGTACATCTGGCCCTATTATTAAATTAAATCAAGATTTTTCAGTCGCTCAGAAGCTCGTGGCTGGATCAATTATTCTTTCATAGGTCTTGTGCGCATTAAGATACCGGCAACTTTCAAGGGGAATTCGATCCTTAAGTTGTGAATGTCTTCAATCTTCTAGCTTATTGGGTGTGGCGCTGCCTTGTGTGTGGTTGATTTATTTACAAGCGGCATCCTTATTAAATAGCGATAGCTTTGAAATGAAAGCCGGGCTTTTCTATTCTTCCACTTTTTTCCACCACTTAATTTTGACCTCCCTCTTTGCTCGCGCCATTTCCTCTCACTCTACCTTCTAGACTGTTTTCTCCATTTTTTTCCCCTTGTCCGCTTGCCTCTCTCTCTCTCTCTCTCTCTCTCTCTCTCTCTCTCTCTCGCATCATTTCATTCCAATTTGCAGCAGCTATTGTAGCGCATGGCGTGATTTATTTGATTTTAGGCAGAAATAAGCAAGTAGTGGGAGCAAAGTTGCGGCAGTATAAATTACATTCGGATTTGTTGCGACTAAGTTACAGCATCACAGGGGTGACCCCCATCCAGTCCTTTCATGAGGGGCCAGAGAAAAGCCATGAATGTCCCTCGAAGCAACAATACAGGTCAGCTGCGACTTTAGAGTGAGGATTTGTGTGTGTTCTGGCCATGGAGAATATTTGTCGATACAGGGAAATACTCCGAAAAAAACTAAACTACTGACTATTTCTTGAGGGCACATGTATAATAAAATCGTTTCTGCAGTTAAAAAGGTGAAATATATTACAGTAGATACAGGCGAAATTTAATTATGGATCATCAGTTGGTGGACATAAAGTCTCTGGTATGCTTCGGTTGTTTTGTTCGGTGAGCAGAGCCACCGTGAGTCTGTTGATGTGTTCTGTAAGTGTGGTCCTCCATCCCAAGTTGACAACATGAAATATTTGCTCTGGAGGCATTGACACTTATTAATTTTGTTCCCTACTCGGCCCCCAGAGGGTGCAAGTAGAAATAGTTTGTGTTGCAGCTGTGGAGGCAGCAACACAATAGAAGTCAAAATTGCGGTGTTTCACATTTAGATTTTGATCATCAAGTATTTGTTTGGAGTCCAGTCACTCAATCACGCGACTTAGAGTGTGTGTGGAATCTGCCCCATATGTGTGAACTGATTCTCTGTGAATACTCGTTAATTTCAATTGATTGTGTTGCTTCTCTAATTAACGTGGAGGAGTTTGAAACTCGTCAAGTGTTGTGTGTGTGTGTGTGTGTGTGTGTGTGTGTGTGTGTGTGTGTGTGTGTGTGTGTGTGTGTGTGTGTGTGTGTGTGTCTGCAATGATCAATGTATGCATTTGGGGAGTGCACGTGTGTGGTTTGAGGGCAGACAGGGGTTGACTTTGTGGTGGCCCTTGATTCCGGTTATAATGAACTCAGAGTGAAGCCAGTGAGGTGAAAGCATTAATTCATAAACAAAAGGCGGAATGAGGTGGAAGCAACCTGCTTTGAATTTAAATAACACCGATTTAGCCAAAGCCAATCAAGTGCCGGCTCCTCACCATTCAACGTCTGTTTCCTGGAATCCAGCTAGTCCCGAACTTCAAGCACTCTGGAACAAATGGAGCTGTGGGTGTGCTGAGAAGTGGTCCTACCAATGTGGCTCCTTTGTTATTGATGGGGGCATTAGGAGAATGAAATGTAAATTCAAGAAATATCAGTGAAATTGACCTCATTTGATGGGAGCAAGAGCTGATGGGAATTGTTGGACTGTCACAAAATGGACATTGAGACACAATGAATGTGCCCCCAAATTGTGGATTGGTTATCTGTGTCACTTCAGTTCATCAAGTCTGTATATTGCGTGTCTCGTGTTTCCCGGTTGGACATTCTGTGTATGTACCGGTAATCATAAAAATAATAGTTGACAAATTCAAGCTGTGGATGTCACACACACAAAAATCACGGGGCTGGGGTGGGGGAATTAAATGAAAATAAAATACAGTTGGTGGGAGTAATCAACATTAAAATTTGTCTTTCAGTCAGAGAAAATAATTACAACAGGTAAGCCTAAAGAGTTGCCATTCGGTTTCTCCCATAGGAGGTGGCTGGGAGCTTAGACTGCAGTGCAGTGCAGTGCTTTGACATACACTGTCCTCTTTGGGACCTTATATAGACAGATGGGTGTCTTTCCAAATCATGTCCAATCAACTGAATTTACTACAGATGAACTTCGAAAAAGCGGTTGGAACCGCTCAAGAATGATCAGTTGAGCTTGTTAGCAAAGGTTTCTTAATTTTTAATTTTTTTTAACACATTTGCAAAAATTTACCCACAAACTTTACTCACGTGGTCATTATGGGGTGTCCTATGTTGAATTTTGAGGCGGGCGGGAAGAATTCATTTCATTCTGGAATGAGGCTGTAACATAAAATGTGGAAAAAGTGAAGCGTTGTGAATACTTTTTGGATGCACTGTACACCCTGGATTGGTTATCAGTCATTCACAGAGCAGGACATTGTTATTTTGTGAGGTGGAAAGGAGTGTAGCGCAGTGGAATCTTACAAGTGACCCCAGTGTGACAGAGGATTTCATCATTACAGTAGTGGACAACGTGGTCTGGCTTCCTTCCTGTTTGTGGACCGTGTACAGGTTTTTCGCTTCAAATCCGGGCATAGGGTACTGCTCCTTCCATTCTGTGACACAAGGAAAACGTCAGAAAACTTCAAGAGGGCATAGAGAAGAGCAGGAGAAAGAAAAGTTGAATTTGAGTTGAGGCTAATATTTTGAGGAGGAAAATAAACTGCTTTAATATTGTAAATCCATTTAAAAAAGCCACAGGACAAAGGCTTTGGAAAGTAAACATGTATGCCTGCAAGAATGGCCCGAATGGTTCTATTCTGGCTCAAACCTCCTGCACAGTTTAAGATTACGCTAATTAGCCTCTTGTTAAAATGCGTTTGAGTGGAATTCACAGTGCCCTGCTGCAAGAAAATGACATTGTGTTTGAATGGATTTCTTTAATTTGCAAAAACAATGGGGCTGTTTCAATGTATGAATCCATTCATGAAGGCTTGAAGACCACAGATTATTTCCTGGTGCAAAAACTGTTGTTGCTGGCTACCTTATCAATGGCTTACTTGCAGGATGGTCTTTAATTTTACTGCCAAGCATGATTTCAGTACAAAGCTCAGTCATGAGCTGGCTAAGCCACTAAAAATGGCCCTAGTTTGTGAAATATATGGCCAAGCAATATAAAACATATATATCCATCCATTTTCTGATCCGCTTTATCCTCCAAGGGTCGCGGGGAGGTGCTGGAGCCTATCCTAACTGTCTTTGGGCAGTAGGCAGGGGACACCCTGAACCGGTTGCCAGCCAATGGCAGGGCTCACAGAGACGAACAACCATCCGTGCTCACACTCACACGTTGGGACAATTTGGAGCGTTCAATCAGCCTGCCATGCATGTTTTTAGGATGTGGGAGGAAACCGGAGTACCCGGAGAGAACCCACGCAGGCACAGGGAGAACATGCAAACTCCACACAGGAAGGCCGGAGCTGGAATTGAACTCGGTACCTCTGCACTGTGAGGTCAAACCGCTAACCACTGGAACACCGGGCCACCCAACACATATATATGTAAAATGAAATGTAGACCTTCAATATTCTTCATATTCTGCATGTGGCAGATGTGCTGACCTGTGAAGAAGAGTTTGAATAAGAGGCACTCCATTTCAGTCAGCATCCACAGTTATATTATATCCATATTCATTAATCGCAGTTACGGTCTCTTGAATTGCCTCAATGTACAGACCGTGGCGTACGTCGAGCATGATAGCTGTCTCCTTCAATTTTTACATTCGTTAATTATAATTCAGCCCGTGTAAGGGTGTGTTCTTTGACATGCAAAGGGAAGGTCTCGTTATTAATCTCCTGCCAACTCCATTCAAACACTATCAAGCACACAGCAAACGCGTCCAGAGTTCTAATGTTCCCAGTGGCCCTGAATTATTCATCGAGTCTTATTGTGGTGAGGTGTAATTATGTAGTTTTGCACGATGCTTTTCGACTATTTGATAGATGACGTGATGTGATTACCTGAGGACTGCGGTGAATAATTGGTGAAACTGCTGTACTGCATTGTGTCCCTACACCATAATCAGATCAAATAACAAGCAGGGGAAAGGAAAAACTTGCTGTAACAAACATTTTCCAAATTTAAGAACAAAAGATGCTGAACTTCATTATATATAAAAATAAACTACCGTATGTTCTGCACTATAAGGCGCTTCGGAGTATAAGGCACACCTTACGTTACGTAATGCATTCACTAGATGGAGCTACGCTAAAGCAGGGGTGCCCATTACGTCGATCGCGATCGACCGGTAGCTCGCAGACTGGTCCCAAATCTATCGCGAGGGGTGTGGAGGAAAAAAACCATTTGTGTGTCTCTGTGCATGTTTGTAATATATCTTTTGTGTTGATGCACACTGCACCCTAATCATCCTATCAGTCTCACTTTCACAAAAATGATTAAATAAAGAAAAGAAAATGAAACAGGTCATCTTTAACCTAGTAAATATTATAAGAACAAGCAAAAGACAACATTGTTATACACTATTCGAAGACAACATGGCTAACACACAAAGAAACATGGACAATATTCAATTCTATAATAAATAATGGCTTTAAAAGTATTACAGAATATTTTGTAAAGGATAAAATATTATTGATACAAGTAAGTGGAAGGAAATATTTCCTCCCTCCTACTTGTGTCCCTGGTGACTGAAAGCATTTTAATTAATATACCTTTGATAAATCGACCCAGGACTAATTTCCCATGATAGAAGTGTTGATCATAATGTGCTCCTTCAGTTCCAGCTCCGAGGAGGCTGCGTTTCAAAGTGCTGAACCCAAACAACCTGCTCGTCTCATGGAAGGAGCCCAAAGGCGACTTTGATAGCTACTTGTTCCTCTACAACAGTATACCAGGTAGGATGGATTTGTCTAAATCTATATATATATTTGCATATCCAGGTATGTGATGTATGCCAAAGCTCCTCCAAGGGGCTGCACTATTGTCCTGCTTCTCTGCTAACCCTGAGAAAACGACAAGTTGGTTAGAACCGCATGTGATCTGTCAGCGGGTTGAAAAGTGAGGCTTTTAGTCAGGTCGCATCCTGAATGAGTTATGATGGAGTCAAGCTCAGAAGCAATATGAGGCACAAGCTGAACACACAGCTGCGAGATTCGGCATCTCGTCCTGCCGATTGTAAATAAGTGAACAGTGTTCATATGTCTGATGTGACCTCATCAACTCCTGCGCTTGAATAATACATTCACTGGTCACTGCTGCCCTAATTGGCACTGATGTTTCTTGTAATCACAGCGTCTCTACCGTCAATGCCATACATCTTTGTCACATAAAGTCCCTGATTGCAACGCTGCTGACCTCGCAACTGTTCCAGATTAATGCCATGCTGAAACTCTGAAGATAATTCTCTCGCGTGCAGCCATTGTTAAAGTGAATGGGCAGGCCTGAATAAGCAGGTTGTAACATAAAATGCACTCCCCCACAAACAAGCTAGTGAGGGAAGCCATGTCTGACAATTTCGTGCTGCGTTTAACGGCGTAGAAGAGAATAAAAATTCGAATTTATGGCCGCTTCCTCTCTGGGAGGAGTGGAAGTGCTGCAGTGATTCTTTGGCACTCAGCGCATGCAGTAAAAATGTTGACCCTCCACTGTGTCCTTTCCGTACCACGCACTCTCAAGATAGTTAAGCGCTCCATGCAAAAGCATCCAGTCACAAGTGATCTGCTTTCCAGTTTCTCCTCCATATACTGGAATATACTCTGATTTTTTTTCAGCAGACAAACTCTTTAGTAAAGATTTAAGTTTTAATTTGAAGTGGATGAGGTTCACTTAGAATTCTCCAAAGTAATGTGGAGCGAGTGTGGTCCTAATAAATTGCTGGGATGACTCTTGTAATGAATTGGCAATCTATCAATAAAATGGAAAAGGAAAACAGAAAAAAAAAATCTGTCAAACTCACACTCCTGTCAACAAATGAAATTTAGAAGAGTAACATTGCAACATTTGTAATACAGACACAATTGATATTTGTTGGTCTATCAAGATGCTTAACCTCAAAAGTGCAGCCCGGAAAAGGACTGAGAATTAGTTACTGTATTCATACTCAGCAACAGGCGATTAAGTATATTGCAAATGAGCAAGTTGAAGTTTCAACTAGATCTACAGCATGGAGGTGTGCAACGACATAAAACCCATCCAATTAAAACAGACTCTGTATTTAGTTTCCTGACTTTTGGATGCTGAGCACTGCTGTTTTTTCACCTTCTCCTTTTCCCTTGCCATTCTCCTAAAGGCGTCATTATCCATCAGACTGCAGCGATAGGCTACTGCAGAAAGCATGCACACACATTGCTGGCTTCATTGATTGCAGGGTCAAATTTTAAGTGATGGGACAAAGCAAACAGGCAGCCACGTTTCTTCCGAGGCGCCACATTGTCATTCGCAAATCATGCAACACCATTCATGGAGCATTATACTGACAAATAACAAGCGGGTCACTCATTTGTCTTTCTTCCCCCTCAAATGCCATTTTGCGCAGTGAAATGACTGTCATCATTTCCAGGAATGAAATAAATGCTTTCTAAATTGGCCATTAAATGTACAGACTTCCTCCAGATGACTGAATACAACAACGACCTGTATATGGTATCGTTTCCACAAGTGTAACCTTGCCCTGTTTTCTTGTACTCTGCTTCTGATAGGTGGCCATCAGAGGGAGATCATCATATCAAAAAGTGACAGTAAAGTATTGATAACGGACTATGACCCTGTCAAGGACTACGTCGTCAATGTAATTTCTGTCAGTGGCAGCACTCAGAGCAGAGCACTGCTGGGCAGATTTAAAGGTGCGTTCAGACATTTAACGCTGGCTTATTGCTATTGTGTTCATTCCCAACGTGGCTATCTACTGGAATATGACTACGGAGTTCAACTTCCATATCTACTTGAAGTCCTTTCCAAGTCTTCAGTGATGTACTACAGTTGCTGCTGATACCGTCCTATTAGTGTGAATGACTTGTTTACTGCCTTCCCTCACAACATACTTCATTTTTACTGTGTGACTGGATACATGAGGCAACACTATAAAAGAGTACAACCTGCGAGGAAAGGTGATGTACAAATTTTATGACAGTGAACCTCCATTTAGTGCAGAGTTTATGTTCCAGACTCAACCGCCATAGAGAGACCATATAATTTTAGCCCTCCCACACACTTTAAAAACATTTAAAATTCTTAGTGCACACTTAATTATAACTATATTATAAAATACTTTATTATTTTTAAGTATTCCTTCTTGTCTATTCTTACTCTTGCTTGCACAGCGTGCTTGAATCAAGCTGTTTATTTGTCACCCCAATTGAAGTTTTAAAAGGTTTAAAACTGTTCATCTAAATAGAATCACACATTGCATTGTCTCCAAAGGTAGAATCCTGGTCAGTTATTGTGCTTTTTGTGCTGAAATTAGTAAATCCTTGTGGCGAATGCCACATGCTAAAGAAGGTGGTGGTAATGCACTCAAGGTATTTGCTGACCGCCAAAAGAGAGTAGAAAAAATATACAAAAAAAGACACTGTATTGTACGGCGCCTGTTACCAACGTTTGGCCAGTGTAGCAAGCGCTAGCAAATGGTAGCATTGCTAACAAGCACTCGCAGCACTCAAGTGCCCCATATAGGTCTACTTTTCAAAGGCAGAAGACATAAATGACTCCCCACACTTTGATGCCGCTACCCTGACACAGTTGCTGTTCCAAATGATCCCTTTTTAACAAGCCAGGTTTATTCAATTGTGTTGTTTTTGTCGGCAAAATCTTGTTTTATGTTGAGAGGGAAGAAATTTCATCATTCACAATAAAGTTGTATTCAATTCAATAATACCGCATTAGCCATGGCTGCTAAGTAGTGCCAGACCGATATTTTTAATCATTCATAT